GCGGGAGGGGCACCCACCATTGCTGAGGCTTAAGTAGGTAAACAAAGCAGCTGGGAAGCTCGAATTGGGTGGAGCCCACCGCAGCTCCAGGAGGCCTGCCTGCCTCTGTAGACTCCACCTCTGGGGATAGGGCATAGCTAAAGAAAAAGTAGCAGAAACCTCTGCAGATGTAAAAGTCCCTGTCTGACAGCTTTGAAGAGAGCAGTGGTTCTCCCAGCACAGAGGTTGAGATCTGAGAACAGACAGACTGCCTGCTCAAGTGGGTGTCTGACCCCTGAGTAGCCTAACTGGGAGACATCCCCCACTAGGTGCAGACTGACACCTCACACCTCACACAGTTGGGTACACCCAGAGCAAGAATCAGACAGCAACACTTGCTGTTCAGCAGTATTCTATCTTCTGCAGCCCCTGCTGCTGATACCCAGGCAAACAGGGTCTGGAGTGGACCTCAAGCAAACTCCAACAGACCTGCAGCTGAGGGTCCTGGCTGTTAGAAGGAAAACTAACAAACAGAAAGGACACCCACACCAAAACCCCATCAATACGTCACCATCATCAAAGACCAAAGGCAGATAAAACCACAAAGATGGGGAAAAAGCAGTGCAGAAAAGCTGGAAATTCAAAAAATCAGAGTGCATCTCTCCTCCAAAGGAACACAGCTCATCACCAGCAATGGAACAAAGTTAGATGGAGAATGACTTTGATGAGTTGAGAGAAGGCTTCAGTCGATCAAACTTCTCAGAGCTAAAGGAGGAACTATGTAACCAGCGCAAAGAAACTAAAAACCTTGAAAAAAGAATGGATGAATGGATAACTAGAATAATCAATGCAGAGAAGACCTTAAAAGAACTGATAGAGATGAAAACCATAACACGAGAACTACGTGACAAATGCACGAGCTTCAGTAACCGACTTGATCAACTGGAAGAAAGAGTATCAGTGATTGAAGATCAAATGAATGAAATGAAACAAGAAGAAAAGTGTAGAGAAAAAACAGTAAAAAGAAATGAAAAAGGCTCCAAGAAATATGGGACTATGTGAAAAGACCAAATCTGTGTCTGATTGGTGTGCCTGAAAGTGACGGGGAAAATGGAACCAAGTTGGAAAACACTGCAGGATATCATCCAGGAAAACTTCCCCAGCCTAGTAAGGCAGGCCAACATTCCAATTCAGGAAATACAGAGTATTCCACAAAGATACTCCTCGAAAAGAGCAACTCCAAGACATATAATTGTCAGATTCACCAAAGTTGAAATGAAGGAAAAAATGTTAAGGGCAACCAGAGAGAAAGGTCGGGTTACCCACAAAGGGAAGCCCATCAGACTAACAGCAGATCTATCAGCAGAAACTGTACAAGCCAGAAGAGAGTGGGGGTCAATATTCAACATTCTTAAAGAAAAGAATTTTCAACCCAGAATTTCATATCCAGCCAAACTAAGTTTTCATAAGTCAAGGAGAAATAAAATATTTTACAGACAAGCAAATGCTCAGAGATTTTGTCACCACCAGGCCTGCCCTACAAGAGATCCTGAAGGAAGCACTAAACATGGAAAGGAACAACTGGTACCATCCACTGCAAAAACATGCCAAAATGTAAAGTCCATCGATGCTAGGAAGAAACTGCATCAACTAGTGAGCAAAATAACCAGCTAATATAATAATGACAGGATCAAGTTCACACATAACAATATTAACCTTAAATGTAAATGGACTAAATGGTCCAATTAAAAGACACAGACTGGCAAATTGGATAAAGAGTCAAGACCCATCAGTTTGCTGTATTCAGGAGACCCATCTCACATGCAGAGACTCACATAGGCTCAAAATAAAGGGATGGAGGAAGAGCTACCAAGCAAATGGAAAACAAAAAAAGCAGGGGTTGTAATCCTAATCTCTGATAAAACAGACTTTAAACCATCAAAGATCAAAAGAAACAAAGAGGGCCATTACATAATGGTAAAGGGATCAACTCATCAGGAAGAGCTAACTATCCTAAATATATATGCACCCAATACAGGAGCACCCAGATTCATAATGCAAGCCCTTAGAGACTTACACAGAGACTTAGACTCCCATACAATAATAATGGGAGACTTTAACACCCCACTGTCAACATTAGACAGATCAATGAAACAGAAAGTTAACAAGGATATCCAGGAATTGAACTCAACTCTGCACCAAGCGAACCTAATAGACATCTACAGAACTCTCCACCCCAAATCAACAGAATATACATTCTTCTCAGCACCACATCACACTTATTCCAAAATTGACCACATAGTTGGAAGTAAAGCACTCTTCAGCAAACGTAAAAGAACAGAAATTATAACAAACTGTCTCTCAGACCACAGTGCAATCAAACTAGAACTCAGGACTAAGAAACTCAATCAAAACTGCTCAACTACATGGAAACCAAACAACCTGCTCCTGAATGACTACTGGGTACATAACGAAATGAAGGCAGAAATAAAGATGTTCTTTGAAACCAATGAGAACAAAGATACAACATACCAGAATCTCTGGGACACATTTAAAGCAGTGTATAGAGGGAAATTCATAGCACTAAATGCCCACAAGAGAAAGCAGGAAAGATCTAAAATTGACACCCTAACATCACAATTAAAAGAACTAGAGAAGCAAGAGCAAATACATTCAAAAGCTAGCAGAAGGCAAGAAATAACTAAGATCAGAGCAGAACTGAAGGAGATAGAGACACAAAAAAGCCCTCCAAAGAATCAATGAATCCAGGAGCTGTTTTTTTGAAAAGATCAACAAAATTGATAGACTGCTAGCAAGACCAATAAAGAAGAAAAGAGAGAAGAATCAAATAGATGCAATAAAAAATGATAAAGGGGATATCGCCACTGACCCCATAGAAATACAAACTACCATCAGAGAATACTATAAACACCTCTATGCAAATAAACTAGAAAACCTAGAAGAAATGGATAATTTCCTGGACACTTACACTCTCCCAAGACTAAACCAGGAAGAAATTGAATCCCTGAATAGACCAATAGCAGGCTCTGAAATTGAGGCAATAATTAATAGCCTACCAACCAAAAGAAGTCCAGGACCAGACGGATTCACAGCTGAATTCTACCAGAGGTACAAGGAGGAACTGATACCATTCCTTCTGAAACTATTCCAATCAATAGAAAAAGAGGGAATCCTCCCTAATTCATTTTATGAAGCCAACATCATCCTGATACCAAAGCCTGGCAGAAACACAACAAAAAAAGAGGATTTTAGACCAACATCCCTGATGAACATCGATGCAAACATCCTCAATAAAATACTGGCAAACCGAATCCAGCAGCACATCAAAAAGCTTATCCATCATGATCAAGCGGACTTCATCCCTGGGATGCAAGGCTGGTTCAACATATGCAAATCAATAAATGTAATCCAGCATATAAACAGAACCAAAGACAAAAACCACATGATTATCTCAATAGATGCAGAAAAGGCCTTTGACAAAATTCAACAGCCCTTCATGCTAAAAACTCTCAATAAATTCGGTATTGAAGACCAGCTTAGCACTGCCCTGGACACAGAAGTGGTCACAGGTCCCAGAGCCTGGTCACACTGCTGGTGGAAGGCACCAACCACGGAAGCCCAGCGCCACTCAGCCCACACTCCTGGTTCTATTCCCTGGTCTTCCAGAACCTTCAGACGATACACATCATCCCTGGTGCCCCAAGAACAAGGTCAGGTGGAAGCAGAAGTGGTGACAGATTTCTCCTTAACACTGGAAGGCACAGCCACTTGTTACTTAATGTTAATTTTGTTAGTTTCATTCATCGTTTTAAAAAGCAGAAACCTTCTACAGCACTTAGTCTGTGTCAGGCCCTGTCCTAAGCTTTTCCAACGTTAACTCATTTATCCTCCTCAACCGGTGAGGAGGCTGGTTCTGCCCAGTCACTGAATTCTGGTTTGATTCGCTTCCCACTCATAATTTTTAAAAGAATTACACAGTAACAGAAATTCATTGTAGAGACATTAGAAAGTCCAATGAATAAAAAGGTTTTTTCTTTATTTTTCACTTAAAAATAATGGTAGACTCACAAGAAGTTATTAAAAAAAACGCACACACATGCACACACAGCACAGAGAGGAACTGTGCGTGCCCTTCACCCAGCTGGCAGAAAGTTCTAAGTCTATAATCTCAGGACTGGAAGACTACGACCTCTCAGACAGGAGGAGTCCGCACGGGCTGAACGGTATCTACGTCAGCCCTGACACAGCCCCTCCCACCTGTAGCCAGAGGGTGGCCCCACACAAGGCCCCGGAGCCCCCATGCCGGCCAGCGGGGTCCACCTCCCAGGCCCACTGAGGAGCGTTGTCTTCTGAGCAGGTGCCACCCTCACTCGATGTCCTGGAGATGGCTGTCACCTGTGACATAAAGCCACTCACCTCTGGAGGGCCTGGGGGCTCCTGAGGACAGGGGGGCCCTGCCCAGAGTCCGCTGAAGTGCACAGCTGTCACCCCATCCTCCCATCAGCCATCAGTGGGACGCTGGTCCCCAAACTGCAGCCATGCCTTGGACAAGACCAAGGCCCTCGTGTGTGATGGCCCGGCCTCCAGAACTCCAGGAGGCTCTGAGGATCTGGGCCCAGGCACAGACCCCGTGGACTAGAGACTGAAGGGTCCAAGACCCAGAGGCTGCCTGGGATGGGTGCAGTGGCCTGGTATGAGGGTGGTAGGTGCTGTGTCCCTGGGGAAGCACCCGGGGCTGGTTTACAGGGGTGCAGCCGGTCACGGAGGGAGGCAGGTAGAGGATGATCTTCCAAGACCAGCACCCTGTGTACATTCAAGTCTTTGACGCCTTCCCTACCACCTCCCCGTGCCCACCTTGGGCGCCAGCCCCTCCCTGCCTCATCACTGGGGGAGGGGCACTGTCTCTGGACCACGCTGGATGTGTGCACCTGCAACCATTTTTCGGGGCCCCCCCCCAACACACCTAACACGCAAATAAAGCCACAGCAGAGCCCACGGGAGTGTCGGTAAGAGCCACGTTTATTTCTTAATTGGACAGAGCCTCAAGTGCACACACAGTACAGGAACCTAAGGCTAACACTCGGGTGTAAGACATCGGGACGAGCGTCGTGACGTCGGGACGGCAGCTATGATATGGGGTCTGGGGTGTGCCCACAGCAATCACATATGTACAAGCCAGGGACGCGGCCTCTGAGCCACAGGGGAACCAGGGGACAGACTAACTACAGGAAGCACAGGCCCAGGGAGAAACACAGGTCACCACAGCTGCTGTCCATCTGGGGGGCGGCACGGCCCGGCCCCAGGGGTGAGGGAGCGTGCCCTCCGTGGTCCCCACACGGGGGAGGCTGGCATAGGACCAGTGCAGCAGCACAGCAAACACCCGTGACATCAGCCCCACCAGGGCCCCAGGCGCAGCAGACTGCAGGGACCAGGGTTGACAGGGAGGGCCACCTCATCACAGCCGTCCTGGGTGCGGGAGTTTGTGCCTGTGCAGCCGGTGAATGAAACACTGGCATCTTCCAAGGGATGACTCTCAGTGGGAGGCCTTGGACTTGTCACCCCTGGGCACTTGCCGGGTCTCATCAGAGCCCGAGTGCTGGTCGGCCTGGAGCCTGGCATCTCCCTCTATCTGGAGCCGCAGCAGAGGGAGCTCCCCATTTCTGGTGGAGGATGGCTGCCCCCAAACCAAAACAAGCCCCCAGACTCGGCAGTATAAAGCATTAAATGAAGCTGTCTGAGGGAGGCGGCTTTTCAGATCTCACCTTCCCCACTTAGCAGGAACCAGCAGCTATGCTGGGCCTGACTGTCTCCTGATCACTGCACCCCGTGGGCACCTCCACACCAGCCCTCCACCTCACAGATGTGGAAACTGAGTCTTGGGGAGCTCAAGGAACTCAGCTAATGTGATCCCTAGGTGGTTTCTGGCAGAGAGAACTTCAAAAAGGCAGGTTTCCTGACTCAGGCGACCTCCTCTCACCAACAGCTCTGGGTTTCTGGGCCCTGGCTCAGACACTCCTCACTAGAGCAGGCCTGGAAGGAGGGAGTCGACGGAGGCTGCGGAGTGGCCCTGAGTCCTAGCCAAGGCCAAGATGGCACCTGGCCAAGAGGACACAGCCAGGCAGCCTCCATGGCAGTAGAGGCTTTTGAATTTAGGCAGCTCCCAGGCTCCTCCCTTCAGCCCACCCATGCCACAAGTGTTCTGCAGGTTGGCTGGCCTCAGACACCTGTGACCTGGGGGGCACCCAGACCCTTTGGAGGCCGCAGCCTCAGGCTGGCTGACCTGAGTGGGCTGTGGTAGGGCCTGCACCTCCTCTAGCCTGCCTGGGGCCTGTGGGGCTTTGACTCATCTCAGACCAGCGTGTTCTGCCCCTGCCTCTCCTTCCTGCCTCCAGGCAGCCCTGGATGCCGGAGCGGGTGCTTCTGCAAGAAGCTGTTCTGCATTCTCTCCTCTCTGCGTCTTGGCCCACTGCCTCCAGAGGACACCCATGGGGAGCACAGGCCACCTGGCTTCTGAATTTTATTCTGGGCTGTAAATCCTCACTCACCTGGGAGATTTGCAAAGAAAACTGCTGTGTCCTGTGTCCTGCCTTCCCAGGCGTGGCTTCCTGAACCCTGATTCTCCCTCACAGAAATCCCCCATCAGCCCCTGGGAGAGCCTCCCAGCTAGGGGATGAGGGCGGCGGTGGCCACACCGCACCTGATCCCAGGTACGAAAAGGCGAGCCCATGGTCCCAGCTCCCAAACAGGCTGTCCCAGGCAGGCAGCCACAGAGACTGCAGCCAGCGTGGGCCCCGGCCCGCCTGCCCTGCACCCCACTCTCCGAGGTGGAACCTCAGGGGCCCAAACAACCTTCCCAGAGGAAAATCTCACACCAGAACCTTCCCATGTGGTGTAGAAGGCCCATGCTCCCCCACTCCCGAGCCGCTGTCTCTCCCCAGGCATGGGATCGGGGTCTCTGAGGCTCATGTCATCATCACGTGGGACAGCCTGGGAGGGTAGGAGCCTCGGAGCTAGTGGGGTGCAGCGTGTCCCCCACTCCAGGAAGCAGATCTGGTGAGAGTGCTGGGTGGTGCCAGAACACCTGGCCCTAGGTCTGGCGCGCCAGACCCGACGTAACTGCTCCCATGGGCCATTGGAGTGCGAGACCCGACGTAACTGCTCCCATGGGCCATTGGAGTGCGAGACCCGACGTAACTGCTCCCATGGGCCATTGGAGGAAGAGGGATTCTGTTGCTTGGCTACTGTCTTTCCTTGAGCTAAAAAGAGACCAAATTGACCTCTGGTGTAGGTGGGGAGGGCCCTAAAACCTCCCTAGGCCTCTGGACATGACTCCTATGACCAGACTCTCAGCTTGGGACTGGCCCCTGTGCTGTCCTGGGTGGCCCTGGGACACTGGTGTCTGCAGAGGGGGTGAAATGGGACAAGAACAAAGGGACACTCCAGATGCAGAAGGGAAGAGCTCCTTAAAGACAGTAACCGCTGAGCCAGCCGCCCTCCATTACCTACCAACCGGGACACCCCACCCCATGGATTTTCTCAGTGGGACTCACAGGAACTCTGCCCTGGGAACAAAGGGAGGAAAGTCTTTGTAAGAAACCTGCTAGTGGCAAAATTTCTTCCCAGAAGCTACCTTGAGCTCACTCCATTTCTTACTGCAGCTGAGGAGGCTGCACGACAGCCCTCAACACCTAGACCGTCACCCTGAATTCTGACCTTCCCTGACATCCTGGTCTCAACCCATCACCCTACCCTGATGGTCCACAGACAGCACACAGCCCCATAGTCTGCACACTGGTGGGTGATCCCGACCCTGCTCCCTCCCGGTCCCCACCCAGGACAGATCACAGCCCAGGTGCCGTCTGCCTCATCTCAGAGCTAGAGCTGAGTGTCACCCCAAACCCTTTCCTGGGGGAAGCTGCTGGAACTCTTCTTAGAGTCACATCTCAGGTGGCTGCCCAGAAGAGATGTGCGTTCTACCTCCCACCAGAGGAACTCACACCACCCTCCATGCCGCTCAGACTTCAGGCATCAGAAGACCCCCCACCCTCCCTCACATACACCCAGGACCCATGTGGCTATGGAGAAGCCTGGGGCCCAGGTGATGCACCCGTGTGCTAGCCCCAAGGTGCCCCACTGGTCCAGACAGCTCCTCACTATGGCCTTCCAAGGTGTCCCTGCCCTGCCCTGCCTGTGCCTAGCAGGTTTGGGAGACACACGTGGGAACAAACGGGGTGGAGGTGTTTGGGGGTTCCATCTGAATATTACAGGGCTATGTGGAGGCATTAGAAATAAATACTTATAAATAGAACAAGTCTTATAGTTAATTTCCGAGTTGACCGTTTCAATGTCACTAACTAACGTATATTAATTATAAGTCTGTCTATGCTTAAAAAAATATTAGAACGCAGCAAGAACACCGTGACCTGTGCCCTTGGCCCCCCCAGCCCCTCCCAGCTTGTTCCACCAGAGCACATTACGCAAGAAGAACCGACATGCGTGGCCTCTGCTGGGAGCACAGCTGGTCGTGTGGCACAGGTCCCCGGGCCTGGCATGGGTGTCCCCTGGGGGGTCGACCCAGTCGTGGGCTGTCTGGCAGGAGAGGGGCCGGGTGGCAGGTGACAGGACAGACGAGGACAAGGGTAGGGATGGGCTGGGCTTGCCGGCTGTCATGGGAGGGCTCAGGTTCAGACCCGCATCTGGGCAGACCTCCTTCTGGAGAGCTTGGACCTGCAGAAGAGTTGGGAGAGGCGGCGTGGTCAGCCCAGGAACACCTGCAGGCCATATCCACCACACCCTCCGCAGGCAGGCAGCCGTGAGGGGCAGCCACAGACCCCATGTCCCCACTGGTTCCCTCACCACCTGGGGAAGGGACTGAATCTCTGCTTCCAGTGTGTAGGACTCAGCCCACCCGTGCCCTCCTGCACCCTGCTTTTCACATCCCTGCTGTGGGAGGGACCGGCTCCTTCCGCAGCCTGCCCCAGGGCACACGGTTTCCCCACGCCAAGGCCACTGGGTGAGGAAGTAATTTTGAAAGTATGGCCTGGGATGTATCACTCCACAAGAAGCCACGACTCAGGGAGTGTTAACAGCCCTAAGGGTGTCCCCAGCCCACACAAGCGAGGGCAGGTCGCCCTGCCGTCCCCTGGCCGCACTGCTTCCCCAGGCGGCCTTGCGGGCAGGACCCCCGGCAGAGCAACCACACCCTGCGGCCGGCCCTACTGAATGGTCCCCGCCAGGAGGGGACTGAGGGCAGGACCCCGGGGAGAGCAGTCTCGTCCTGCAGCCGGGCCCTACCAAATGGTCCTGGCCAGGAGCCGGTTGAGGGCAGGACCCCCGTGGTAGCAACCTCGCCCTGCAGGCAGCCCTACCGTATGGTTCCGGCCAGGAGGGGGTTGAAGGCGTACAGCCAGTCGTGCATGTCCTTGTCACTGGCGGCCTGCAGCAGGATGCCACGGTGTTCCGTGCACACCGCGAACGTGTTGGGTGTCTGCAGAGGGAGGTTGCTGGTGAGGAGCTGCCAGGCCGTGTGGTCAGCACACCACCCTCCTGCTCCCCAGGGCCCAGGCAGGCAGGGAAGGGGCACCACCAGGAAAGTCCCAGGGAAGGGACGCAGAGGGAAAGGCTGACCCAGCCAGGGCTGTGACTGCCTTCTGGATGTGTCTGCAGCCGATGGTCCCAGGACACCCTCACCACTGCTCTGCATCCCCACGGGACGTGCCTGCCCCACATGGCCCCTGCTCCCTGGGACCCTGGCTGGGTTGCTGGTCCAGATGTGGGTCCACACCACCCACCTCCACCACAGGGAATCAAAAAACCATCTCATAGACACTGGGGCCACCTCCAGATGGCTCAGAGAAGCTTCTCCTCCAGCCAGCCTGAAGGAGTCCGGGCTCCTGAACTTGTCCAGGGCCATTCCAGCGGGAGGGGCCGGGCAGAGTGGGGGTAGGAGGGCTCCTTTGAGCCCTGTGGCTCTCCTATTTCTGCAGGGCTGGTGCCACCACCTTGGGTGACTCCAGAGGAGGGGACATGGCTGCGGCCATCACACAGGAGAATACTCATGCTTGCCCTGACCGGAGCCCATCCCCACGAGCTGTCGCCAGGAGCATGCGCCCCATGGGCAGGCAGAGGATCCCTGAGGCTGAGTCCCTGAGCCCGGCCTCGGTGGAACAGGATGGAGGGCCAGAGTCTAGGGTGAGCAGAAGGACCTCCTGCTCCAACGCAGGGCTGCAGAGGGCAGCAGCTCAGCTCCTGCCCTGCTGGGGTTCCCGGTGCCCGAGCCTGAGTCGGGTCCAGCCGCACCTTGAGCATAGCCTGCTGGTCTTCACTGTACTCCACCTGGGCAGTGGCCAGGTTGAGCACGAACCGCTCCACGGTGTCCTTGTCGCTGTTGTACATGTAAGCGTAGGGGCGCCGCACCACCACGAAGCGCCTGGCCCAGCCCGATGTGTGCGGCTCCAGGAAGTGCAGGTACCCCTTCTTGGAGACGATCGGGCTGAGGGCAGAGAGCTGCTCGCTGGGGCCCTCAGTGGGGGTGGCGGCTGACTTGGGCACTCACCGTCCATCACCCAGAGCTGGGACGCAGCAGTGCCACCCACCTCCCCAGCCAGAAAATGGGTCGAGGCATCAAAGGGTGCCTGGCAGAACCCTGACCCAGCAGGCCGGCGACCAGACCACCCACCCAGCTCTGGGCCTCAGTTTCCCCCATAAAATGGAAAACCTTAAAGAAAAAAGCTAAAGTTGCTGCAAGGCTGCCACACGTGCTCCGTGACCACGAGTTCCCCACCTGGGCCTTGGCTCTGACCCTACCCACTCCCCTGTGCTCTGTGCTGGTTCCCAGCCCAGGCATGTGGGTCCCAGGGGCCTGCCTGACCTCCCAGCATGGAGCTGCCCCTGCATGTGGGTTAGGGGCAGCCTGCCTGAACCTCCAGTATGGGGGTCGGGCAACCTGCCTGTCTCCCCAAGTATGAGGGTCCCATACTTGGGACCTGCGCCCCCAGTATGGGGATCAGCGTGGCCTGCCTATCCCCTGTCAGCACAGAGCTGGTAGCAGTGCTTTCCAGGGAGGCCCTACACACCTGACTCGGATCTCCTGGATGTCGGGGACCAGCAGGCGCTGGGGCTCCTTGTCTGTCTCTGTTGCCCGGGCAGGGGAAGGGAGCTTCTTGGAGTCGGCCTCTGGCAGCAGCTCAGGCTCTGGGCTGGCTGGCCGGGAGCAGGGCTGTGGGGTCCTGGGAAGTAGAGGGTAGTGCTGCACACTGCAGGTCTCCCTGGGCCTAGGGCCATCTCCCCCCAGGCTTCACCCTCCTCAGAGCTGCAGTAGGGCACCTTCGTGGGGTCTCCCCAGCTGTGCCCACAGTGGGAGCTCCCGGGGCCCATCCACCAGGACAGCCAAGCTTGTGCCCGATTCCAGGAAGTGCTGGGCTTGGTGGGGAGGGTCCCCCAGGAACCTCAGGACCCCAGCCAGGGAGCCTGTGCCCCACTCCATGCCCTTCTCCCAGTGGCTCTCCTGCCCCCACCTCCACCCTGTGAAAGCAAGTCCAGCATCTCTTTATCTCCACAGTTAGACTGAAAGTGACACGAGGTTCTAAGGAGCCACTGGAGCAGAGGGCACAGCTGGCCTCCCGTATGGGCCCCCCACATGGGCCAGGCCCCACACGACTTGACCTGGTGGTCAAGGAGGCCTGCAGAAGACAAGGCCAGCTGATGCCACTGTCTTTCTTTTTTAAGCGAAAATTTGGAACCCTTAAGGCATTTTAAAACAAGAGTGAAAACCATCTTCCGACTTATGAATCGGACATAAGGGGTTCACATGGGGTCTCTTCCAGATGTGGACCTGCAGGGGCCAGGTGTTCCCTCCGCAATACTGACCCTAACAGCGCTCACGCCCTCTTTCATAACCTTTTTCTTTTTCCATTATTTTATAAGCACTGTCTCAGGGAAAGGGAGCGTTAGCTTGTTTACCAGGCATTTCTGGTCTTCTTCAGGGAAGAAAACACACACACTAGGATGGAGCTGGCGGGGCATAGGTGCCCTCTAAGAGGGCTGCAGACTCCACTTCTCCAGGCCCTTCCCTCAGCCTGCGGCCGTACCGAGACACTTGGCCGTTGGGGCCCCCGTTCTGTGCTCCCCATGCCCAAGTCACGGCCATTGCCATGGGTCGGCTGTGGTGCCGGAAGCCTCTCCGGGAGCCTAGAGCTCACTCACCTCAGGTCAGTGGCACCGTACCGCCCTTCAACCAGAGAGGGGCAAGTGGAGGAGGGGGTGAGAGTGGCTGCCCCTAGAGGGGACATCGACGGGTCCCGGAGCAGGGTGACAGACATCTCAGAGAGCTGCGGAGGAGAGAAGGCATTTTTCAGGGGACACAGGGAAGTGGGGTCTCCGGCCTCCGCAGGTGCTGCTCCCCGTGCCTGCGTTTACCCCGCACCTGCCGCTCAGGGCACCCCACCCCTCCTACCAGCAGCCTTGGCTCAAAGTTGGCCAGCTCAAGACCCCTGGCCCCCTTCAGCCCCTGCGGCCCCTGGCCAGCCCCTCCCAGCACTTCAGGCTCTGACCTGACCCAGGCAGCCACCCCGCCAATGCCTCGAGGAGTGGGCTGGGTAAGCTCTGCCCTGCTGCCTCCTGCTCGTGCCAGCATGAGGTGGCGCTGGGTGATGCCATGGGGGCAAGGAAGGCCGTGGGCCGGGGCTGGATGCAGCACAGTGGCAATTTCCCAGGTTATAGGGGTGGGGTCGGTCCCAGGAGGAGGAGGGACAGCCAAGTGGGGGCTTGGCCAGAGGTCACAGTGTGACGGCCAGACAGGGTGGGGGCCAGGAAAACAGCACAAGCCTGCAAGCACGTGGGTGCGTCCCAGGTCACAGGACCCACCCGGCCCCTCACTCATGTCCCCACCTCCCATGGACTCCAGGCCGACCCAGGGAAACCAGCCACTTAGCTAGGAGGTATCTCTCTGCACTGAGATGTGTTCCTAGGAAACTCTTAACTGCCTTTTCCCACTCAGAATGGGAGTTTTCCTCAGGGACCACTGCCTATGGGGGCCCCAGCCCCACAGGGCAGCCTGGTGCAGCCCCTCCACACCCACCTTGCTCTCGCTGGCACTGACACAGACGTGGCTGTGTGTGTACTCTCTGTTGAACGTGTGCGTAAGCAGGCGCAAGCACTGTGGACAGAACACACACGTGGTCAGGGGCCAGGCCTCCTGGGATGCTGCTTAGCCAGCCTTGCAGGCTCTTCTACCCACCCTTCCCCAGACACAGGTGGGCTCCGACACCACAGTGCAGTGGATCAAGGTGGACAGCACCTCCACCCCGCCCGTCATTGGGTGAGCCCAGGAAGCCTCCCAGGGTCAGGCTCAGGCTCAGGGCCTGGTGTGAGGGCCAGAGGCAGTGCTGCCTCCAGTACAGGAGGCCTTCCCAGAGGCCCGTTAAGCTGCCAAAAGAGCCACTTGTGGGTGGAAGTGGTCAGCTCCCCATCAGCACAGGTATTCAAGAGAAAGCGATTCATCACTTGGGAAGGGAGGCTGCAAAAGGCACCCAACTTTCAGTGTAGGTGGGGTGGAGTCAGCGGGCAAGGGGACCCTAGGGACCCTTCGAGCTCCTAGCTCCTTGTGGTGCTAACCAGAGCAGCCATGGGCAAGGCTGGGTTGCTGGAGTTGCCCAGGAATGACTCAGGGCCCTTGAGGGCCTGGGGCTACGGCTATGCTGCCCACCAGCTGGACCCACCTTGACAGCCAGCTCCCGCTGTCTCTCATTGGGAGCCTCCAGAGGTGATGGGCGGCCCTCAGTCGAGAGCGGGGAGGAGGCGCTGGAGGAGCCGTGGGACTCAGAGTCCTCGCTGAAGGCCGGGGACAGTGCCTCCGGGACAGGCCGCTGGGTGGTCTCCAGCTTCTCCCGCAGGAGCAGGTAGTGCCTGGTCTTCTCCACCTTCAGACAGGACACAAGGCCTTACCTGCTGCACCTCAGGGGCGACCTCTGGAGCTGGGCTCAGCCTCAGCAGCAGCATGACCCTGTGGGCAGACCCCTGGAGAGCCCCCACTTCCCCTGGGCTAAGACTGGAGACTGACAGCTCTCAGTTGTGAAATGAGGGAACAGATCCTGGCGCTCCAGGGCTGACAGCACTCAGCGCCCACCCCAGCCCTGCCGCCTTCGTGGCCAGCAAGCAAGCTGCTCCCTCTTGGACACATGCATCTCACGCACCAGGCTGTGGGGCAGGGCTGTGCAGCCCTGCAGTGCTGGAGGCCTCGGGAGAGGGCTGAGGGGTGGGCACAGCCCTGGCCTCACGCATCTCACACCTCACGTGTCACGTGTCACACACACGGCCCGAGGCAGTGCCTAGATGCTGCATGTTGGTTTCCCTGATCAAAGCCACAGAGGGCAGCCCGGGCCTGTGACTTTCCTTCCGGGTCCCTTTCTGGCCTCTGTCTATATGCCTGAGAGTCTCCCCCAGCTAACTCCAGAGCATGCCTCTGCGCTACACTGGCCGTGTTTCTGTCACGCCCATACCGCCCCGCGGTGCACACGGGAGCGTCACATGCTCCTCCTGCAGGTAGCTGTGACTCCCGACGGGCTGTGCTGCCCCCCAGCGGGCACCAGGCACTGGGCCCTCTCCCGTTTTCCCTCTGCAGACAAAGCCACGTGGACACGACCGTGCAGGCCTCATCCTCTGAGGCTGCCTCACCTCCTGCAGGAGGCTCAGCTTCTCCAGCTCCCACTGGTGGTCCAGAATGAGACTGTCGCTCCGGGGCCTCCAGCCTGCCAGGTTCTCCTCGCCCCGGACGTAGGCCACGGATGTGTCCAGGACTCGCCGGCGCCGGCGCTGCATACCTGGACGGAGGATGCGGACACCTCATCCCGACCTGATGGGCGGCTGCTCCTCCCACCCACCCTAGAGGTCCGCCCGCCTCTGAAACTGCCTCCCCTCTGGGGTGAAGATCCCTGGTCCTTGGTCCACCCTGGGACCCAAAGAGCCATGCAGGCCCCCTCCAGAGGAAGTTATCCAGCCCGGTGTCCCGTGGCCATCTCGGCTGTGCCTTGGGAACCCGAGGAAGCCAGCAGGCCTGACTCTCCTCCCTCACTCTCCTCCCATCTCGGAACAACTCCAGAAGCCACAAGGTGAGTGCCTGTGTTCTGTGAGGGATCCCCCTGCAAATGGCAGCTTGGCTGTGGTCACCCCGAGTGGGCAGAGGTCGAACAGGCCAGGAACCCACCCAGTGAGAGCAGGGCAGATACCTACCTGGGCTGCCCGCGTCAGCCACGTGGCACAGGCTGAGCTCGTACACGCCGGTCACACGGTTACTGCAGCGAGTAGAAGGAGTGACACGGGGTCACCAGGCCCCACAGTGGGGACACACAGCCCACCTGGCTGCTGACCTTCCCCACCATCAACCGCACATTCAGCCTGGCTGGGGTGGTGGGCATCGAGGTCCCTGAGCTACAGCCCCTGTTCAGAGTCCTCATCCCAGACCCCCTCCGGCCCCCAGAGAAAAGATGTATTGACTGGTCTTGCTCAGGTGCCCATGGGGCTGTGACCTGCCCCCACAGCAGCCTCTGCTTTGTCCCAGCCCAGGGGAGACACAGGCAGCACGAGCACAGCATCTGGCATCTCCGGTCTCTCCAGGGCATTGAGAGTCCCGTAGGCCCTATACCCCACAGAGCAGCCCCACTGTGCCCAGGCCAGATTCTGAGAGCACCACGGTCACCCTCCCACAGACAGGTCGGTGGTATTGCACAATTACTGAGTGACCTCCAGAATGACCAGTCAGCCTTCAAGGACACTGGGTCCTGACCCCCAAGCTTTTTCCTCCCAGCTGTGCCCAGTGCGAACCTGGATACCAGGTCCATGTGGCAGACCATGGGGAGACCCACTGAAGGTAGCCATGGGTGCCCGGTAGCCTCGGCGGCCCTGCTGTCAGGGCTCTGACATTCCGGCTCATTCTCCCCCACCCCCAAGAACGCAAGGACGTGGTCAGCACGCAAGCACGTGGTCAGCACACAAGCACGTGGTCAGCACACAAGGACATGGTCAGCACGCAAGCACGTGGTCAGCACACAAGCAGGGCTGGTCCCAGTGTTTGGTTTCCGGCTCCCCAAGGTGCCAACAGCCTCCAAGAAGAGCCACCCAGCACGTTCTGTGGGAAACTGTGTCCAGAGCCCCCTTCCAGGCACCGCCCATGTATCCAGTTTCTCCTTCAGTGCCTTGTGGGCAGTCCCATGGCACAGGCTCCTGTGGTCCCCAGGGAAGACGGTCACCGGCAGTGGGGCACGGTGTGGCCCCAGGATTACCACCGCGGAGGTTGCAGGGAGACTGCCTGCCCCTCCTCCCGTGCCCCGCAGGCTGGCCCTCATGTCCCTCATACAGGTGTCGGTGTACCCTGCAGGAACCGTGGCCTCCACGGAGTCTCCATCTGGGGTGAGCAGGAGGGGACTGAGCACAGGGAGCCAGCCAGGAGTGCGGCCGGGCCTCGCACGGGGTGAGCTGCCAGGTGGCCCAAGGACCGCTGCCAGGCAGAGCCCCGCCTGGCCTGCACCGAGACCAGGGTGGGAGCCCCTGTGGCCCTCACCCCTAGGGGCTTACCTCTCCGAGGCCCGAAGGCTCCCACTGCCAAAGAGGTTGCGGATGGAGCGTGAGGCTGGCAGCTTGGCGTCGCGGGAATAGAAGACCATGCAGAAGTCCTTGGTGATGACGGCTGGCTGGGTGCAGTTCTCCATCTGAGATAGACAGGGGGCGGGGCTCAGGCACAAGGACACCCCAAGTGCCCAGGTGCCCTTCCAGCCTTCTCCTGGGACACAATGCCAGCACCAACGGGCAGCCCCAGGGCCTTCCCAGGGTCTCAGGTGTGGCCCAGACCCAGGCAGCAGAAAGTCTCTGCTCCTGCCCTGGAGTCAAACCCCACTGGGGACAGGCAGCCGCAGCCCTGTGCACGCCTGGGCTACATGAGGGACTGGTCTCCACGTGTGGGACCCCGAGGGTCCCAGGCACAGGCTCACTGCTCGGGCCTCAGCTGCCTCACCATAAAATTGGGGCGACACAGGCCGCACGCAGTGGCTCGAGCCTGTAATCCCAGCACTTTGGGAGGCTGAGACGGGCGGATCACGAGGTCAGGAGATAGAGACCATCCTGGCTAACACGGTGAAACCCCGTCTCTACTAAAAATACAAAAACCTAGCCAGGCGAGGTGGCGGGCGCCTGTAGTCCCAGCTACTCAGGAGGCTGAGGCAGGAGAATGGCGTGAACCCAGGAGGCAGAGCTTGCAGTGAGCTGAGATCTGGCCACTGCACTCCAGCCTGGGCGACAGAGCAAGACTCCGTCTCAAAAAAAAAAAAAAAAAAAAAATTGGGGCGACACCCTCCCCGACCCTGGAATGTCTATGAGGATCAAACCAGGTCTTGTTTGAACACGCGCATTTTAACTCAAACACCACAGAAAGCGACTTCCTGGGGGGGTGACACCTGACTGCTAAACAGCTGGCCCCTGTGTCTTCCTGAAGTGGGGGCAGTTGCTATGCACAGCTGAAGAGTCCCGAGCACTCGCTGGGAAGAGCTCTGCCAACATCTCCTCAGCACAACCTCACCACCGTCCGGTGAGATGGTCATGCCATCCCCGTGTGAAGCCGGAATAATTTGGCTCTAACTAAGGAGAGGGGATGTGCTTGCAGATGTCCCCACCCACTGCTCCCCACCCTCCCTCTCCCTCACTACTATGACTAGCAACAAACGCCCACACTTCCAGTTGCCTCTTGTACTTGGAAGGGAGGCCACAGCCAGGTCTGGCCACAGCCTGTGGACTGCAGACTCCTGGGGGGCTGTGGGGATGGGACACTTCTGTTTCTGTGCTGCCCAGAACGCAGACACAATGTCTGGTGGTGCTGCAGCCATCGTGCATCCCAAGGACAACACCCGCACACTAAGTTTAGCAGAGTGAGTTAACTGCCATTCAAAGCACATGGAGACCGGGCGCGGTGGCTCACACCTGTAATCCCAGCACTTTGGGAGGCCGAGGTGGGTGGGTCACCTGAGGTCAGGAGTTCGAGAACAGCCTGGCCAACATGGCAAAACCCCATCTCTACTAAAAATTCAAACATTAGCCGGGAGTGCTGGTGGGCACCTGTAATCCCAGCTACTTGGGAGGCTGACGCAGGAGAATCGCTTGAACCCGGGAAGAGGAGGTTGCAGTGAAACTGCACCATTGCACTCCAGCCTGGGCGACAAGAGTGAGACTGTCTCAAAAAAAAAAAAAAAAAAAAAAAAAAGCACATGGATTTATGTATTCAACCTTGTAGTACAGTTCCCCCCGCCAAAAGGCACATGAATTTAACCCAGGAACTTGAGAACTTGAGAAGTCGTCTGGGTCATCTGGGGTTGTCCAGAGCTTACAAGAACCTCAAGCTTCGGGTCTGGGTGGTTTTGGTGGCGCGCCCTGGCATAGGTGCCTTGCCTCGATATAAGCAGAGAGCGTCATGTAGATTTTCTCTCGGTAAGGGGTGACCCGGTTCAGCAGGAGAGAGTTGTGCATGGAGCTGTCCCACGCAGCCTCAAATTGGTAAAAGGTCCTGAAAGGAAGCAGAGATGAAGTAGAAGTTGATGGCATGGGGGCTGCTCTCAGCCAGGTTGGGGACATGCAGACAGACAGAGTGACAGACGTGGGGCAGCCGCAAGGGAGCGGCCGGGGGCACAGGCTGGAAGCCCGGGCAGTGGTACCAGGAAAGACGGGTCCCTCCTTACTCAGGACCCAGAGAGTAGCATCTTTTAGATGCCCTGATGGGGGCGAGCCCAGCATTTTCCCAGCTCCACCACAAATGGTGCCCCAGCTGTCACGCTAAGGCTGGAAGGAGAGGAGGCAGCAGGGAATGAGAACAAGAAGGGCAGAGAGGGAAGGGAAGAGGGAGGCAGGACAGGGAGCTGGGACGTGGGGAACACAGGGAAGAGAGAGGGGAGGGCAGGAGGAGAGGACTCGGGCAGAGAAGAGAGGAAGGACAGAGGCAGGGAGGGAGAAGGCAGAGCTTGCACCGGGCCCACCCCAGCCTCAGTCTGAGTAAGGAGGCACCACCATCTCTCCCTGGACCTGAAGGGGACCTGCCCGGGTTTGACAAAAACCTCCATGGTCCATCTCCTCTGACAATGGACTCACCCTTGGTCCATCGGGCAGAGGAAGGCCCCAGGGGGGAGGATGCTTGGCATGGAGGCAGGGCGGCTGCCATGAGGCCGTGTGCAAGAGTGTCTCTCTGTTAGCACACAGGAGACAGCGGCGGCCTCGCTGTGTCCCTGATCTCCAACCTGGAGTTATGGTGAGCACAGCCTGAGCCAGCTGCCCGCTAACCCTGTCCCAGAGTGGCTCAGGGCCAACCCCAGGGGCCTGGGATTTTACATCCCCATGGGGTTGAACTGCGTTCCGCAAACGCCTCGGGTGCCCTCCACTCCAGAACAGGGTTTTCTGTCACGTGAGAGTTCCTGTTTGCAGCCCTCTGGATGGCGGAGTGACTGAACTCCTTCCTCAGGCCTGGTGCTCACAGGGAGGGCTGATCACAGCCAAGGTAGACAATTTGCCTGAATCCAGAGTGTGGCCACTCTGCAGACCCTGAGCAGCAGGTTCAGCTCCCCCACCCCCCACCCGCCCAGCCTCGCCCAGCTCCCCTCCAAGCATCCTCACAAGGACACAGTTCAGAGACATCAACACACACAGCTGGGCGGCCACGCAGGCTCCAAGGCGGCTGGGCCCCTCCAGAGACCGCGGTGGAGCCCAGGTGGCACCGGGCTGCCCTGTCTACTACACAGCATGGTCTGGGATGCAGGGCATGGGTCTCACAAGTCGGGGTGTGGAAGGAAGCAGGGACCAGGGAGGGCTGCTGTCGGACACGTCACGGAGGAGCAATCCCGGGAGAGTGAGGACGGTGGGTGGTCAGAGAAAGGGCGTAGAAGCAGGCAGACGCCGAGGAGAAAGGAACTCAGAAGAGCAGAAGAGGACAGACCAAGCAAGGGCGGAAGAGAAAAGTGAGCTGTACCTAGTGTCATTTCCCAGTGAAACGCTAAAGGTGGAGGCAGCCAGGACACACACGTACACACACAGAAGAAATGGAGACGTCAGAACAAGCACCGGCACAAGACCCAGGGCAGAAAACTTAGGAGCTCTGCAGGCACACGCTGGATCTCACGGCCCCCAAGCTCTTGCTGCACACAGGGCTGGGGTGCAAGCCCCACGTGGGGCCCTTGGCCCTGGCCCTGCAGACACCCCCTTCCCTGGGGTCTGCAGTGAGAGCCTTGCGTCTGTCCTCAGTCAGACCAGGTGGATGCCTGGGAGCCAGGACAAAGGCCTGGAGGGATTTGCTCCTCTCCTGGAACATTGCGGGATCCTGTGGAGGGTCTGGGCTGCAGGCCAGGGCTGGAGCCACTGCAGCCTGGCCCGGAACAAGCGCCTCAGACCGCCTGGAACACCGCAGAGCCACTTCACAGCTGCATGACCTCGGGATGTCACCAACAGCTCTGTGCCCCATTTCCTTGCAAGTACCATGGGGCAGTAATTGCCCCTACCTCAAGATGTCTTGCAGATTAAATGAGCTAATACTTGAGCACGATGAGAACACGACCTGGATCTGGCACAGGTCAGCATCGCTATCTTCACTATCTGGTACACGTCAGCATCGCTATCTGGTACACGTCAGCATCGCAATTTTAAAATAGCATCACTCTAGTACAAATCAGCATCGCCTATCTGGTACACGTCAGCATCGCTATCTGGTACACGTCAGCATCGCTATCTGGTATACGTCACTATCTAGTACATTCTAGCATTGCTATCATCCTCGTTACCTCTATGCACTGGGTAAGGACCAGCCTGCAGTTCCCACCAGCTCTGTCTCTCCTGCTGGACCCAAGCATTCGGTCCCATGCTGGACCCTCTATCTTCTGCCTCCAAAGTCCCTAAAGGGCCTCAGCTTGCTTCTCTTCCCCTTCCTTCTCTTCCGTCTCTGTGTGTGCAGACACAGCCCACCCATCCCTCACCCCTTGGCCCGAGGATCAGAACCAGTAGGTCTTTTCCAGCATCAGCACCTACTCCCTTATGTGCACCCTTCAGAAAGCACCAGGTCCTCCCAGCCCAGGCACTCCTCAGTCATCAGGAACCATGTCCCTGCCCCATCCTGGGGCTCCTTGGCCCCCAAGTGGGACACAGCAAAGGAACAAGCCCAGCGAGGCAGGCAGGACCCCAAGGCTCAGCCAGGGGTTGCTCCTTAGAGCAAGTGGACTCTGCTGGAGCCAGGCCTGGGGCTGTAAGTAGAACATGAACCCACTTCCACATGAGGCCCACAACAACCCCCTTGGGGGTCCTAGCAGAGAATTTCTCAGTCCAGGTAGCATGTGGCTCTGCCCTGCCCAGACCCCAGTGGACTAGAATCTCTCTGAGAACATGACTATGGTGGAGTCTCACATGTGAGCTGGGGAGAGAATGGTGGGAGGGGGCCTTATAGGACTCTGTGCACAGCAGGGACGGGGTCTTCCCATACCACTGTCCCATCCCCCAGGTGCCAAGATGGCCAGCCGGACCAGGGTCTGACATGGGCACAGCCATGGTGCTGCCCTTAGGTCATTTCCAAACTGCTGGTCAGCCCCAGAGGCCTCCCACTCTGCCCAGGGGAGCTGCACCCAAAATGCCTTTCAACCAGCCCTTGGCCCACATCCTGCCTGGCTCCACCAGGTCACGGGCAGCAGACCCTGGAATCTCAGGCCAGGAGGGTCCCTGGCAACATTCTTTAGTCCCCCTACTCCCCTCAAGCCTCTACAGAAGGAGGACAGGTCTTACCCAGATCCCAAGTGAGATTATTTAGGGGACAACGGCTGGTGGATCAGAGTGGAGCAGGCTGGCGGAGTAGCAGCTCACCCACACGGGACACACATGGGACCCGCACTGCCAGCTGGGGCCCACCAAGCTTGCAGGGCACAGCATGGGAACCACTGACAGGTGCCCCGCGATCATACAGCAGGAAACCAAGACCCAGGAAGGCTGAGAGGTGGCCAAGATCACCCTGCCATGGCAAAAACTGCAGGATGTGGGCTGGGAGGGCCTTGGAGACCACTCCAGGACCCCACTCCAGGAGCGGGCACGAGGTTGCCCCAGGCCCTGTCCCCTGAAGCCCCCCCTCACTCTATGCCACGTGACAGCTGCCAAACCCTCAGAATCATCACAAGAGGAAACATGCAGCCCGGATGTGGAGGCCCAGGTTCTCCAGGGAGGTGATCCACCAGGCTGAGGCCACAGATGGCAGCCAGGGCAGACCCTCCTCACCCGTGGGGAACATGATCCCAGCAGGAGACTTGATCCAATGTGAACACACAGCTAAAAGCAGGGGATTGTGCTTGAACCCCGACCTCAGGGATACGGTTCACAGGATCTGGACGTGACACAACATAGTCATGTGGCGCCACCCACCAAGCAGTCCAAGGACAGAGCAGAGAACACAGGCAGCCCAAGTCTGTCTTTGGGATGAAAGCTGGAAGCAGCATTCGCACAGGGCCCAGCCAGTTGGAGCAGGTTGGGCCAGGCACCCCTGAGGGCCACAGCCTGAGCCAGCTCTGTAGCCTCTCCACCTCCAGCCTGAGTCCTGGTCAGTGCTGGCCCCCCTCTCCCAGCCCCCTGAGGGCAGTTGCAGGCTCCCTCCTCGCCTGCCTGAGCCCTGCCCCTGGGCTCTGTCCTGTGGGGCAATGTACAACTGGGAAGCCTGACGGCGCCCTTGAGAGTTCGAAATCTGGCCTGGGGGCAAATCTGCAGTATATCCACACAGAGACAGGAGAGATTTTACAGCTAGGCAGGCCAGAAGGAAGTAGGTGGAGTCAGGAAGACTGCCTGGAGGAGGGTCCCTTGCAGCTGGACTTCAAAGCCCACCAAGGACTTAGACATAGGGGCTGGGACGGTGGGCATGCCACATGCCAGGCATGCCAGATACCAGGCACAAGCACAACAGAAGCAGGGAGGGGGTGGGGGCGCAGCTGGAGAGAGCTGCATCCTGCCCCACAGGTTAAGGAATGCATGGACTCTGAGCATCATCGGATGCGGCTCTGGCCCTGGGCTCCACCAGCAGCACTGGGCTGCAGCCACTGACAGCCAGAGCTGGCGCCCCAACCGTGTGCCACCCCTGAAGCCGTGACAGCTGGGGGACAACCAGCATGTCACTGCTCCCCACCACCTCCACCGGACGGCATGGCCCTGGAGGTCGCTGTCCTCAGAGAAGGAGAATCCTAGACCAGATCTGGCCTCAGAGGCAGTGCCAGGTCAGAGGCTCGGCCTCTTCCACTCTCCCCTCCACCTCTGCTTTTGTGCCCCCAGCTCAGGCAAGCTCACTCTTTCCTGGTGAGCCCTCCCCACTGGGAAGATCCCCACAGTCCCCTTGCCCTGGCTGACACCATCACTGGATTCTGGCTCCAGAACGAGGGCCAGCAGTCCCCATCACTGCTGTGCCACAGGGCCAGGACACAGCCTGCTTGGTTAGTGCCTGCTATGGGGATTGGAGGGTAAGGGATGAGGGAAGGAGGGGAGGAGGGGATGAGAAGATGAGGAAGGAGGGGAGGAGGAGAGGAGGGAATGATGGATGAGGGGATGACGGATGAGGGGAGGAGGTTTGAGGGGAGGAAAGAAGGAGGGGAGGAGGGATGAGGGCAGGAGGGGAGATTAGGAGAGGAGGCGATGAGGGGAGAAGGGAATGAGGGGAGGAGGGCAGGAAGGAGTGGGGAGGGAGGGAGGAGAGAATGAGGGAGGGGATATGAGAAGAGGAGGGAATGAGGGATAAGGAAAGGAGGGGAGGAGGGCATGAGGGATGAGGGATTTGGAAGGAGGGGAGGAGGGAGGAGGGCAGGAGAGGATGAAGGGAGGAGAGAATGAGGGGTGCAGGAGATGAGGCATGATGAAGGGAGGAGGGGATGAAGCATGAGGGGAGGAAGGATGAAAGGAGGAGGGGATCGGGGAGGAGAGAATGAGGGGAGGAGGGGATGAGGAAATGAGGGGGTGAAGGGGTGAGGGAGTAAGGGAGTGAGGGGGTGAGGGAGTGAGGGGAGGAAAACATGAAGGGAAAGGGGGTGGAGGTAATGAAGGGAGACATGAATTAGGGGGTAAGGGGATGAGAGGGTAAGGGAATTAGGGAATGCAGGGACGAGGGGGTAAGGGGAGGAGGGAGGGATCAGGGAAGGGTGAGGGAATGAGGGAGGGAGGAGAGGAGGGAATGAGGGGAGGAGCTAATAAGGGGATGAGGAGTTCAGGGGTGAGGGAAGAGAGGGTGAAATGAGGGGATGAGGGAGGGATGAGGGGATGAAGGAGGGATAAGGGGATGAGAGGATAGGGATGGATAGAGAGAGGAGAGATGGGGACGAGAAAATGAGGAGGGATGAGGATAAGCAGGAATGAGGGAGGGATAAAGGGGATGGGGAAGAATAAAAGGGGATGAGGAATGGATGGCTAAGAGGAAGATGAGTATAGAAGAAGGATAAGGGAGGAGATGAGGATAGGAGGATGAGGATAGAGGAGGATGAGAGGAGTAAGGAAGATGAGGATAAAGAGGAATGAGAAGTAGGAGATGAGGAGGGGATGAGGCAATGAGGAGGGATGGGGATGAGAGGGGATGAGGGAGGGATAAGGGGATGGGGAAGAATAAAGGGATGGGAATGGATGGGGAAAGAGATGAGGAGTGAGAAGGGGTCAGGAGGATGAGGGGATGAGGGAGGGATGAGGGGATGAGGAAGGAATTAGAGGAGAGATGAGGGATGAGAGGATAAAGGGAGGGATAAGGATAGGGAAGAGTAACGGATGAGGAAAGGATAGAGGGGAGAGATAAGGTTATGAGAAAGGGATGAGATGAGGGTATGAGAGGATAAGGGATAGGAGGGATGGGGGATGAGGAGGAATGGGGAGACGAGGGGATGAGAAGGGATAGAGGGGATGAGAAGGGATAGAGGGGATGAGGGAGGGATGAGGGGATAGAGGGGATGAGGGAGGGATGAGGGGATGAGGGAGGAATGAGGGAGACGAGGGGATGAGGAAGGGATGAGGGGATGAGGAAGGGATGAGGGGATGAGGGAGGGATGAGGGGATGAGGGAGGAATGAGGAAGAGACGAGGAGATGAGGGGGAATGAGGGAGGGATGAGGGGATGAGGGAGGGATGAGGGGATGAGGGAGGGATGAGGGGATGAGGGAGGGATGAGAGGGTGAATGAGCTTCCTGGCCAGGCTCTGACCCGCCTGGACAGACTTTTCCTGATTTAGCCTTTAATCCCACAGGATGTGGCTCACATGAGTGGCTGAGGCACACGTGAAAGATGAACGACTGTGTGGGTGAACGTTGCAGCCCCACCAAAGGCACAGCAGGGAAGGACAGAGGGGAGACTGAGCTTGCCGCTGGACCTTCCCGACAAGGCTGGAGAAGCCTCAGGACGTCAGAGCTGGGCCGTTTCTCTGGAGAAACGAGCCCCATGCTGCTGGGTGGCCAGGGTGGCCATGGGCCCTGCTGCTCCCTGGCTCCCTGTCACCATCTCAGGGAGACACCCTGGCTTTGAAGGCCCCTGTTGACTCCTGCTCCAGGCAGGTCAACCCCTGTGGCCCTGGGGCAGGCAGCCTACACGACCCTGCGTAAGATGTAGGAATATAGGGTAGGAGGTTGGAGCCAATCTCTCTACAAACAAGGAGTACATCACATACACCCGGTCTTCACCCCGCACTCTGTGTGTGCGCATGCGTATGAGAGACACCCACAGCTTCCCAGTGCAGCCCCCTGAGCACAATGGTAATGACTGGGATAAGAAACACGTTTGCTCAGGAACCACGCAGTTTCACAGTGACAGCCAGCTAGGCAGTGGTGACACCAACAGTGTGACTCACACGCAGAAAGTGACAGGCGCCGGCCCTCACCGAGCGCTTCCCCAGCATCCTCTCTCTCTCCTCTCACCACGGCTCAGCACAGGGGCTATCACCATCCTCACTCCTGGGGATGGAAACAAGGCTCTACCAGAGCCCCTGCTTATCCACATCCACGCAGTCAGCAAATGCCTCCGCTGTAAGGCCCCAGGGTCCCTGCCCACTGCAGATGTCTGGGATGAGACGTCCTGCACCACACCCATCACCTGCTGGTCCACAGCACTGCCCATCACGGTCTGGCAGACCAGGCCTGGCAGAACAGGGCCCCAGGAAGGACGCTCAAGTCTGATTCTCAGGACTCCGACACCACCCTCTCCTCCCCTCTTCACGCCCTGAGCTTGAGGTCTACGCAGGCCAAGTCCCAAGCCTGCTGCCCATGGGGTGTGGGCCGGCAAGCTCATTCTGGAATGGGGGAACAGCCACAAGAGGGCCCAACCCCTCACTCGGGTACAGGTACATGGGCCTCCAAAGCCCAGGGGCTGGCGAGGGAGGGAAAGTTCCTCTCCTCCCACAGTGCCACCGTTTGCCTGCGTTACAGGAGCCTTCCTGGTGGTGCTAACGTTTATTTATACCTGGGGGTGTCTGGGACCAGCCTGAGCATCCCCTCAAATGTGCAGAGGGTGTGGGACCTAAACACTGCACAGCTCAAACTTGAACAAAATACAGACAATTCCTGCCATGAGATCACACTGACGGGCCGGAAACCACCCCGTGCCCAGAAAACAGCTCCTAAATTAGAGCCCAAGCTGATGGGCTCCCCAAACCCAGATCTTTCTGAGCATAGGGAAACTCCCAGAGGCAGGCCAGCTGACTCCAGGACCAGCTAGCCAGATGCCGTCTCCTCCTCCTGCAAGCCCGCCCGACTCACTGCAGGGAGAGGGAGGCCCCACTCAGGCCCTGCAGGGCTGTGCTCCCTCCTCAGTGCAGCCACCATCACAGGGTCGCTTGACAGGGTCTCTGCTGCACCCAGGTCCCCAGGGAGAGCTGGTGCAGCAGCCTTCGGAAAAAATCTGTTCATAGAAAGAGGTGTGTGTGCACATGCTCAAGGGACCATGCCAATGGGGACTCTGGCCCTGCCACCCCTGGGCAGTCTTCTCCTGGCCACGGTCCCTTAGCCACAGTAGTCAATCATCTGTCCTGACCCATAACAACATGGACTGACAAGGATGTGACCTCAGAAAGTGCTGGCCAAGCCCCACTGCCCTGGGCCTCTGTGCCAGGAGCAGCCTCACACCTCCCGACTGCAGGGCTTAAAGGCCCAACATTGGTCTGAAAGGCCTTCTGCTGCTCAGTTCACTTCACAGACACCACCCTACAGGATAACTGCCGTGACGCTGGCCACAGTCATGCAGGGACACAGGAGCAGGCAGCCTTGACCTTCCATTTGGAACAGACTCAAGTTCTCACCAGTATCTGGATTAGGGACTTGGAGGCCCTCCATCCCCAGGGTCTCGCCGACTCCCTGCCCCAGGCTGGGATGGGCGGGGGCCTCACTGCAGCTGGGGAAAAGGGAATCTGTTGGACAACCTGAGTCTGGGACTCTCTGGTCTCTTAATGAATTCACCACCCACCACTTCCACAAAAAGATGCTTGGTGGCCACAGCCAGAGGAGCGTGGCTGGAGCCGCTGTCCCTCTTCCTGGCCTGGCCAGGCGAGGGACTCATGAGAGGCTGTGGAATGTGCCGGAGTGTGAGGGTCTCCTGGGCTGGCTCCTGTCTGCCCTTCCCCATCCCCTGTGCTCACGGCTCTGCCTGCTAAGGCCCCTTGCAGGGAGAGGGGAGTGGGGCTGGTCCTCACAGGGTGGTGCAGCCAAGGGCAGCGGGCCAGCAGCAGCGTGCGGGATGCCACGCCCATCCACAGGGCTAGGTGTGGTGCGGGGCGGGCAAGGCTGGGGCAGGAGGAGCAGGAGGCCAGCCAGTGTCTACTGGGGAGCAGGAAACTACAAAGCAGCCAGAATCAGGAGTTGGGGAAGAAGGGACTCAGCCAAGAGGACGGGGTGGGAAAGCAATAAAGAAATCAAACCAAGATTCCAAGAGAATAAAAAGAAAGAAGACGGGAGGAACAGGAGGACAGGTGAGCACGTGTGTGAGGAGTCCAGGAAGCCGGAAGTTAACTTCTCAGGGGTGTGGGGGGCGGTCAGGGGAGGAGCAGGGAGGAAAGAAGAGGCTGAAATGAAACCAAGGGACACAGATGATACCTAGGTATGTCCGAATCAAGAAACTGCCTGCAAAACACAAACAATCACACGGTTAGTGAGGGCCGGGCAGCGCAGCGGGAGCGGGGCAGGGGACAGGCAGAGGGAAGCGGCCTGTGGCCACAGGCCCACTCTGAGCCGGGGAGGCTGCAAAGCACGGGGCCTGGGAGCAGGTGGGAGGCAAGGCCATGGCAAAGCGCATGGGCGGCCAAGGCTCCAGGCCGGAGCCAGAAGCCAGGGCTCCTGAGCCTCCACATGTCACAGAGAGAGGCCTTGGAGCAGCCTGGCCCCTCACAGGGCTGAGGACGCCAGCACCATCCATGGCACAGGAAGGCCCACTGGCCTGGCCAGCCAAGCCACACGATGGTGCCTGCCTGGGGGTGCCAGCAAAGGACAGTCCCCGAGACTGCTCCAGAGCAGGGCTGGGGGAGGGAGCTGCCAGCACGGGCAGGAGCCAAGCGAGGGCCAAAACCGCTTCGGGGAGGCCACGCCCACGCAATGTGCCTTCCTCCTTTCTCAGACCCAGGGCCATGACCCCAGCACAGGACTGCATCAACCCCAGAGGCACCGTGGGACCGGCCCCATGTCTCACAGCCCTCCGGGTGTGTGGCCAAAGCCCCTTCAGTGACAGGTTCTCGGGCCTCCAGGAACAGGGGCCTGAGGGCCAGCCATGAGCTGCTCCCTCCTATGTCACCCATGGCAGCTGATCTGAAGAAGACCTCAGAAACTCAGCCCTCTGTGCAGGGAGATAGCAGGTGGGGTTGGGGGGCTGGAGGCCCTGCCCACCCCACCCCAGGAGCTGCCTGGGCTGAGGGAGGGTCAGAGGTCAGGAAAATCAGGTAATGAGGTCATCTCCCAGGATCCAAAGCACATCTCACATAGCAGACCTGCCCTTCTGGGCCCCACCCCCGACTCCAGTTCCTGGTCCCCCACAGCCCAGGGACAGCAGCCCACACCCTGCAGGCAGTGCCCGTGCTGGGGGCTCCAGGCCTTCTCCACGCCTCACCAGGGAGCGTTCTCATGGTGGCAGGAGAAGCAAGGCACGAAGAAGCCCCCAAGCCCCGACCCATCCCACCTGGTCTGCCTCACCTGCCCCTGTCCCAGACGTGTTCCCCCCATCATGGCGCCACCTCCACATAGAACACCCCTGAATTCTCCACCCTCCTGTGGACATGAGTGCAGGGCAAGTTCCCTCTGGAAGGCCACAGGCAGGGCTGGGACCAGAGCTGCATCCACCCTCCTGTGGACGTGACTGCAGGGCAAGTTCCCTCTGGAAGGCCACAGGCAGAGCTGGGACCAGAGCTGCATCCGCCCTGCCCAGATCTCTGTCCAACCCCCACCCCCTACTATTCAGCGCTGTGCCCACCCTGACTATCCAGCTGCCCCCTGCCCTGGCTGCCCCTGCAGCGCCCTCCTTACTGCAGTGCTAAGCCCCGATAGCTCACTTTCTGGGTGTTTCTGATGAAACCAAGCTCTGTCTGGACCCAAGTCAGAAGAATAGGAGACGACGCCCCCCAGCACCCTCCTTCCTTATGACCTTGACTCTCCTTGCAGGGAGGCCCTCAAAGATATTTTCCTACAAACACAGCCATGGAGACACCCGCGGCTCCAGCTCTGAGGGTCCCCTCTGGGTTTGTGCATCATGAGTCAGGTCGAGCCCCCAGGGATCAGCCGGGACTGGACACTGGAGCTCCCGCCCCACTTTCCCCAAGCCCCTGGAAGGCAGCATCTGGGATGCAGTGGAGCCCGAGGGACATCCCCACCCACCAGGGCTGCGCCTGGTAGTGCTGAGCCACCTGCCCAGGCCAACCGCAGGGGCTGCCTCCTTCTCCCATCCCCTAACCCCAGCAGACCCCGATAGAGCTGCCATAGACATCCCAGAGCGCCGAACCTCCAGCCCAAATGAGGTCGGACTGTGACTGCCCAGATTGTGGGGTCTTGGCCATGCAAGGGAGTGTAGAAAGGAGCAGCCTGGTGGTGAGGGGCCTGTGCCAAGCAGTGCCTGTGGGCGCCCCACCCCAGCTGCTCGACCCCTAGCCCCAGGATGCCTGCCAGAGGCCACTGACTTGCCCACAGCAGCATGGTCCTTGGATATACAGCCACTTGTCCCCACACCACCCAACAACGAAACTCCCGAGGACAGCACTCAGCTCATCCTCCAGCCCGAGCTGGCCCCTCTGCTTGGTGATGAACAAACGGGCATGGGGGTGATGCCTGAACCAGCGACGGGGTGCACAAACGAGGAGTCGTGGGCACAGAGGCCACCAGCCCCTCACCGCGCAGCTCCTGCAGGTGCCAGGAGGGAGGGACAGGAGAGCGTTGAGCGAGTCACGTTGTGTGGCTGGACCCTGTGCCGGGTTGGCCGAGGGCCTCGCAGGCTGGGAACATGCCCTGGGCCCTGTCTCCAGGGAGTCTCCGACTCACCGGTCATCTTGGGCTGGGTGGATGTATCCGGAAGAGAGGATATTGAGAGACAAGATGTTGGGGTCGATCAGGGACTCGTCAGTCTCTGGAGTGTTTCGGATGCGGCCTGCAGAAAAGGCAACGGGGCACGGGTCACTTCCCAGGGGGCAGGTGGGACCCTGGGCCCTGCTGGCTGCCTCAGGTGAGGGCGCTGTCAGCAAGCCAGCTCCCCACGTGGTCACTAAAGCATCGGTCAGAGGCGGTGCCAGGGGGAACAGGGAGGCCCTGCAGGGTCCTCGGCGACCCAGGGGCCATGTGCAGTTACTGCTCCACGGTCTTTCTTGTCTGTCTCTCGGCCACAGTGAACACCCCCGTACACACACTGACAAATGCAGGTGCTTAGCCTGGAAACCATAGGCCTTCCCGACTGCTGGAAAAGGAAGGCTAAGCAAGACACAGAGGAGGAATGTTCCTGCTTCTTCTTACACCTAAAAATAATGATAATAACAAGGAAAGGGAGGGAGGGAGGGAGGCAGGCAGGGAAAGGAGAGCAGAGGAGGGGAGGGATGGGAGGGGAGAGGAGAGGACACTATCTGTGCCATATAACCTCTTCTTACAAGGGGCATTTCCAGGAGAGCCCGCTAAGATGTACACACTGGGGGTGTCTGTCTGTCTCTGTGAAAGACACCAGAGCTGTTATCAGGCAGGAAAACTGCCTAGTGGCTTCACCTAGTAATTTCTTGGCCAGACAGTGACAGTTCTGCTCATTCAAAGGAGTAAACAAACATGTGCACATTTTCTTTGTTGCATCAGGAAGGAACGACAGGCTTCCCTTTCCTCCACCACGCATGGACAAGACAAAACCCAAGACGTGCTAGGATTTTGTGTTGACAGGTGCACACTGGGCCTGCCTCAGCCCATTGCTGGAACTCCGACCCATGACCTTGCAGCACCTTGGTCCTGGGAGGAGGCAGGTGGATCCCAGCAAAGTGCCCTTCCCTATGCCAGGGCCCTCTGGGTCCATGCTGGGGCAGCACCCATGGCAGAGAAGCAGCTCACCTGCAGGGATTGCTGCCTGGGCAGAGCCACTCTCAGCCCTCGGGGCCTGCACTTGAGCAGTGTTCAGCCTGCTCTGAGTCTGACCAAGTACCTGGCCCACAAAACTGACACCCATGAACCCATTGGTCTGGGCAGAGTGCCAGGGGTTGGGCTGGGGTCCTGAGCCTCTGTTGTCCGCACCTCGACTCCCTCCCCTGCCTCCAAGGGTGCACCCACTCACTGCTCATGGACACCTGGGGTCTCTCCTTGACTTTCATCCCTTTCACTGACCCTGTGCCCACAGTCTTGTCCAACTCACAGGGCTGGAAAGTCCCATGGCCCTCTTGGGAGGGATGCTGAGCTCGGAGAAGACTGTGAACAGTGAGATCAGGTCCCAGTGGGATCAGGTCCCAGGTGAGGAGCAGGAGAAAGGCTAGGTGCTCCCCAGAAAGTGACTTGGCCGCTCTTTGCCCTGAGTCCAATCACAGGGCTGCTCAGCCATGAAGCCCAGAGAGGCTGAGCCCAAACCCCTTAGCCTGAAGGGGGGCACTGGGGTCTGTACCATATCTTCCCAAATCCCCTTAAATAGCACCCCTGATCCCCCCACCCCACATAAACAGACACTCCTGTATTTTTAGAAAGGAGGTGGGGAGAAGAATGTGGGATCTGAGCAGGCAGGGTCTGAGGGGCGACGGACCGAGGCCCGGGGGATGCGTCCTTTCAACCATGCAGATCCAGCTTCCCCGCTTCCTTCTCTCCTGTCTGCCATGAGGGAAGTGAGACCAGGACTCAGAATATGGGGCAGTGGTGCCCCAGGGATCGTTCCTCAACTACCATGTGGCCGGGTCCATAAGCTGTGTATTTGCTAACGTTCTGCCTGGAAATCAATTCACTCTTTTTAGGCTTGCCCTAAACAAGCTCTGAAAGGAGGGTTTGGGTGCTTGTTCCATGACTTTCTGATTCATGTGAAATTAGACACAAAACTTGTAAAACATAAGCATGTATCCTGGTGTGCCTGGAACCTCCTGTCTACAGTCCTGCATTGGAACACAGGGTGACGAGTCCAGCCCCAGGGAAGTCACCTTGAGCGGTCACCCAGCCTGGCCATGGCAATGTCGGGCAACGCAGGGCTGGGCTGGCCTCATGCTAGTGACACACTGAATGGATGACTGTCTGCCTCCTTGAACGAAAATTGAGAAGACAAATTCTTTCCACCTTAGCAAAGGAAACATTTGGTGGACCCGAGTTCAAAACATGAGGTCATGGAAGAAAAGAGTGTAAGATCCTTGGTGATGGTTATGGGCGGAATTGTGAACCCGAAAAATATACGTGGAAGTCCTACCCTCCAGGACCTCTAAACAGGACCTTATTTGGAAGTAGGGCTTTGCAGAGGTGATCAAGCTGAGTAAAAATGCAGTCAACCCTGGAGCAGGATGGGCCTCTAATCCAACCTGCCAGATGTCCTTAGGAGAAAGGGCTACAGCAAGACACAGGACAGCAGAAGCCTGTGAAAATGCAGTGATGCGTCTGCAGGCCAGGGTCGCCCAAAATTCTAGCCACCACCAGGAGCTGGAAGAGGCAGGGAAGGATTTTCCCCAACAGGTTTCAGAGAGAGTGTCTCTTGCCGGCACCTTGATTTTGGACTTCGGGCCTCCAGAAGTGTGAGATGATAAATGTCTGCTGTCTGAAGCTACCTGGTTTGTGGCATGTTGTCACAGCAGCTCCAGAAGTCCAATACACTGATTAAATAGAAATTTGCAGATTGCCACCCAGGTCCAAGGCTCTCCTTTTCAGGCGAGGAAGTGACCCACAGAGAGGTTATGTGACTTGGCCAGGGTCACGCAGCAACAGACGCAGAGGTGTGATTAGAACCCGGGCATCCAGCTCAGGGTCTGTACTCTTCCCACCAGCTTGGCCCCACCCCCCAAGGCAGCCCCCACACTGTGCTCACCCACGACCAGCTCGCGCACTTCCTTCCAGCGGATATGGCTGCCTGTCTCGTGCAGCAGTGTCACTGTTATCCGTCGCTGGATGCCCTGCCGGTGCCAGGTGAGAGGATATGGTCAGATGGCTCAGGGGGCCACTTGGGGAGTCGGGAGGGGGGACACAGGCAGGGTAGGGCTGGGAGGCTCACACCTGGTGGAGGTGGGGAGGGGACACAGGCAGGAGTAGGGCTGGGAGAGGCTCACCTGGTGGAGTGGGGGAGGGGACACAGGCAGGGTAGGGGCAGGAGGGGCTCACCTGGTGGAGGTGGGGGAGGGGACACAGGCAGGGAGGTAGGGCTGGGGAGGGCTCAGGGGGAGGGGACACAGGCAGGGTAGGGCTGGGAGGGGCTCACACCTGGTGGAGGAGGAAGGTCCCCATGCATGGCATGCCCCCACGGTGGTCCACCACGGCTGGGATGTAACTGGAAGAGAGAGACACATGTGAGGAGCGGCCGGCCCTTCCTCCCTGCCCTCCCTGCAGCACAAGACACAGTGGATGGGAGCAAAAACAGGGAAAAATCAGCAGCTCCCTCTGGTGAAGATCAGGCGGCCTGATCCATGGAGACCAGGGTCAGCTGAGCACAGAAACCCACCAGGCCTCCTTGGCTATTGCCTCCCAGCCCTGCCCACTGGACTGGCAGGGTGTCCAACAGGGAGACACAGTATGGCACGGCCTGGTCCCTCTGGGCTGGATCTTTGTAAGTTCCCAAGGGTCCTCTGCTTCCCCTGGTGCCCTGCAGATCTGCAACCCAAGACCAGAGGATCCAGAGGAAATCCTAGCAGATGGGCTCATCTGCTCCAACCTCTAAGGCTCCTGTCCCACTCTGGGCAAGGACCTGAGTCTCCACCAGGCCCCACTCTGAGCTGCCAGCCACAGCCCAGCTCCCAGCTGCCACCAGGGCACCAGGCAGACCCCCACAGGCCTCAGCACTGGGACCCTGGAACCTGCCTCCCCAGGGCCTCAGGGCTCTCCTCCCACCTCCTTCAGGTCTTTGCTCAAAAGTCCCTTGATCACTTCGTAAGTACCTTCTGCCGCCCTGTCCCCGACCCACACCCTGGTGTGCTGTCCTAGTGCTCAGGACCACGGGGCCACCAATTCAGGTGCTTATCTGTCCAGCACCTCCCTGCCCCCCTTGCCAGTTCCTCCAGGACAGTGGGGAGCTTTGTCTGCTTTTACTCCCCAGGACCAAGATGAGGCTGGGCCCACAAGAGGTCTGCAGGGAACACCTGCTGGAAGGATGACTCTGGATGCTGGCAACCCTCAGGTAGCTCAGGTCCTCGTCCCTCTCCGCCCCATCCCCTCCACACTCACACCCTGGGGGTCCCGGCACCAGCACTCACTCGCCATTGGCCTCCAGCTCACAGATCTCGAAGTAGACCAGCAGGTCGTACTTGCAGTGGCAGGGCCCCGGACAGGGCCGCGTCAGCGTGCTGAGCTTGGTGGCGGGTACTGTAGGGACAGGAAGGCGGCATGCGTGGATGGGAGACCTGACCCATCACGTGCCAAGGGCATACTCAAGGAGGAGGTGCCAGGGCCAAGGGGGCTCAGAGGCAGTGAGGGCATCTCCCCCTCCTCAAGGGAAACAACCAGCCAACCCCAGCCATTCCCAAGATACACAGGGTCCTGGGCACTCTGTGGCCTCAGCACGTCACATGGACGCTCACGCTCTCTGTGCCCCAGCTAGGAAAGCCACGTGGCCATGCACACTGGGCAAAGTTCATGAGGAGAACAGTGGTCAAGACCCCAAGAACCAACAGGGCAGCCACAGATACACTTGTTCAAAAGCCCCACAACCCTCACGGGGCCCCTCTGCCATGCTGCCAGGCCCATCGCCTACACCACACCTTGGCTACAGCCTACTGTACCAGTCCAAGCACATCTCACCAGCACCCAGGCCTGGCCCAAGAGGTGTTGTCCCTCAGCTCCCACTGGCCCTCCACTCGTGTCCAGCTCCTGACCAACAGCCTCTGTCCTCACATCCTTCACCCACCTCTGTCCACCACTCCCTTCTCTGAGACCCATCACACAGGTCCTCCTCCAGCAAGTCCCATCTGAGCCTCCTCCGCCTCCCCTACAAATATGGATCTACAGGTCTTTCTTGTAGGCTGTGGGGAAGACTGAATCTCAGGGAACCCATACTGCGGGCCACAAAACCTGTACAGACCAGGGACTGGCTCCACAGCAGCTGGAAGGTGTCCTCCCACAGTGTCCTCAGCCTGCAAACCTTCATCTCACAGGTGTTCAAAGGACAGGGTCCTTGCAAGGCAGGCACAAGAGGCTGACACCTGGTCACCACGTGTGCAGACCCAGTGCCTCCACCCACCAGCTGCAGAGGCAGCTTCTCACACAGGCCCCTACCCTCTGGGGTGCTGGTGCCTGGGACCACACTCCCTCCTTCAAGAGGGTTTCTGGGCTGTGAGGGACTCAGCCACACCTGCCGGGCCTCAGTCTGGCTGCCTTTAGCTCTCCCCCAACCATGTCCTCGGGTTTTGGTCTTGCAGGGAATAAACTCCACTCTTTTAACTAAAAGCCAATGAATCTCAAGTGCTATTCCACGACCCACCTGTTCCCGCAGGCAGAGGCTCCAGGCTCTGGGCAAAAGCTCTGACAAATACTCCTCCCTGACTGACCCCACACTCTCACTCCCACCTCCAGCCTTGGACCCCCATGAAGGAGCTTCCTAGATTGCCCTTCACCCCCAAATCTCTACCTCTCTGTGTTCAGTTGAGATGCCTGAAGTCCTGTCAAAGCCCCCAACCCCCTTGCTGTCTTCCTTCCTCGGCTCCCCACACCTCTGCCACCAGCTCCAGGCTACTCTCTGGGCATAGGGCAGACCCTTGCTCCATGGGAACCCCATGAGGCCTGACAGGCTCAGGGTGGCCCCAGAGTGCCTGGGAGGGCACAGCCCCGTCACAGAGGACAGCATCTACTGCGGGGGCCCAGCCCACTACAGCACCCACAGTGAGGGGAGCCCATTGCCCTGAGATGGCTCCAGAGACTCTTCCTACCTGGCTTGGACAGTGGCATGACCCGAGGGAAGTGGCGGCGCGAGGGCCTCAGGGGGCTGTGGAGAAAGAAACACCAGTGTGAGGTGTTTGTGGGACCCTGGGTGGGAGGGGTCAGAAGGAGACAGAGGGCTACTGGCCCCAGGTGCCCGTCCCTGCCCCCTCCCGCCCTCTCTTCTCCAAGGCTGTCCACCAGCTTGGGTGGGAAGAAGAGGAGGGACCTTTGGGACCCCAGATTCCACCCCAGAGGCCACAGGAAACCAGGGCAAGGTTCAAGCTCTGGCTTCTAGTCCAGAGTCCCTCAGGCACTCCCAAGGACAGACAAGCAGCCCCAAAACAAAGCCTTCATTGCCCTTCTCTTTCCCTGACACCCTGGAGGGCCCCTGAGCTCCCAGTCCTGCCTGACAGCTGAGAGGAGTTGGAGGTGGGAAGACAAGGGCCCACCCGAGGCCTCTGCTGTTCTCTCTGCACTCGAGGTGCCTAGGAGGGGCCGGCGTGGCCCAGGATAGACACTCCCATCCACCTTCAAGGGTCTGGGTGAGATGGCCTGAGTGGAAGTCCTGACTTCACGTCCCAGCCCCACAAGTCTCTCTGAGCCCCCATTTTCCAGGTCTCAGGAGGCTGCATGGACTGAGGGAGCTAGGCCAGGCTTCCTCAAGGTGTGGCACAGCTGGGCCCCTTTCCTGGGGTCCTTGGTCAGCAGCAGAAGTGGTCTCCCCGGGGCCACCCCAGCATCCTACAGCTGGCAGCCCCTGCACACTGCCCAGGCCAGCAGGAGGTCAAGCAATGCTCACAAGGAACCCTCTGCAGTCCTGAAGGAGAGAAGCTGTGGGAAGGTCCAGAGCTCTTAATCGCTCTCTGAGTCCTGCCAGCCTTGGGCAAAAGGCCTCCTGGATTGGCAGGGGAGGTGGGTTTCAGGGGGTGCATAGGCTCTGCAGCTTCAAGACAGCTGGATGAAAAGATCCGGACAGGGGCTTTGAGGACAGCAACCCCGAACCCCCCACCCAGGGCACTGACCTGAGCACGTCCTTGCAGAGGGGCGGGAACGGGTGCTGCTGGTAGTGACCGAAAACCTCGAACACAATGGGCTGGCTCTTGATGTACTCAATGAAGGACTTGGTCACCTCCACTGCGATCTGGTGGGCAGGCAGGTGGGAGGACATAAGGGCACGGCCAGGCCACATTCAAGGGGGAAGGAGAGTCGTATCAGTGAGCTAAGTGCTTCAGGCCTAGATCTGGGACCCTTAGCTGGGCCCACCTCTGCCCAGGGGCAGCAGCCTCCTCTAGGTCCTTCAGCCCAGCCCCTCCTCCCACCACATGCCCCAGACGGACTCTGGAGTGTGTCCCTTGGCCTCTCTCCCCAGGATGAACGGGGGCCACGTGGTCAGCTGCCCTTTCAGAACACAGAGCTGGGAAAGGTAACAGAGGGCAGTGCTGGTCTCTGCAGGGCGCCCCTTCTTGGGCCCTGCCCCACTCAGCAAGAGTTACAGGTTGGACCGTGTCCCCCTCACCAAATTCATATGTTGAAGTCCTAACCCCAGGACTTCAGAATGAGAGTGTATCCTGAGATAGGGCCTTTACAGAGATAATGGAGCTAAAGAGAGGTCATCAGAGTGGGTCCCAATCCAGCATGGCTGCTGTCCCTATGAAATGGGAAAGTTTGGGCCCAGACCCACGCAGAGGGGGAAGGCCACGCGGACAGACACAAGGAAGAGGCAGCTGTTCTATAAGCCAAGGATAGAGGCCTAAGAAGGAGGCGACCCTGCCCACACCCTCATCCTGAGCTTCCAGCCTCCAGAGCCGTGGGAGGCCACATTTCTGTTGTTTGAGATGCCCCCATCTATGATGCTTTGTGACAGAAGTCCCAGTCAACTAACCCACTGAGTCTCCAGGTTATCAGCCCTGCCAAATCTACACCCACGGCCTGGCACTCAAAGCCTGGCTCCCTGGTAGCTTGCCGTATCACTGTTAGGCACCTCTTTCCCCTGCTGCCCCAGGAGCCCAGTTCTCCCGCCTCCAGGAGGAGCTGCTCTGCCCTAAAGGCCCCTCCTCTCCATCATCCTAGCAGCCCAGCTGCCATCACTCTCCTGCTTGGAGTTTTCCAGACCTCTCAGGACATTGCCAGCACCCTGCAGCCCCTGTGACTCTGCCTCCTTCCCATTCCCAATACTCAAGCCAGGGCTGCCCTCGCTGAGCACCTGCAGCCCTCAGTACAAACCCCAGGCCCCACTGCACCTGCATCCGGCTCCCCGTCGGCTCTACGCTGACCATGGGCAGCTCTCAGGGGCTCTGAGCAGCCCCCATCCCCCAGTTGTAAACCCATCAAGGGTCTCCCACTGCCCAGAAATCACTCCTACACCCTGCCTGGCACTGGAGTTCCTGGTGCTCAGCCCTGGCCCACAACTGGTGTTCAGAAGAGGGAGAATGAGCCATGCTCAGAGAGGCCCTGGGAGGGTTGGTCAGTGGCAGGAATGGGGAGAAGCACCCAGGGACGTACGTTCTGGACATGGTAGAAGCCGAGTGGGGGGCCTCTGCCTGTGTTCTTCAGGGGCTCTGTGGAGAAGGCCTCATCGTGGCGGTGGATGAAGCTGCAAAGCAGAAGAGGTGCTTTGGTATGGGGTGGGGTACTTGGGACAAGACCTTACCAGGTGGAATCACCTCACATGAGGGCGCTGGGGCATTCAGGGCGCTGGGGCTGGGCCGATATGGCACCAACATGGCCTGCACCCTGCTCAGCGCCCAGGCAGGGGAGCCTTGGGCACAGAGTCCCTGTGCGGCATGGGGACACAAAGGCAGCAGGGGCTCACTTGAACTGGCAGAAGATGTCAGCATATTCGGCAGAGATGCTGGACGCCTGCAGGACTGTCACACGGAAGGTGAAGGTACTGCCCAGGCGGAGGTGGTCCAGGGCAGTGTCCAGGGGCCCGTCCAGGGCGGCTTTCTCAGAGCTGTCTAGGAGGAGGCCTTCTGGGGGCACCGCTGCTGGGAGTCAAGGAAAGTCATGGACCTCCAGACCATATGTCTTCCAGCCACAGGCCTGGGCCGGGCTCAGGAACCAGGTCTCAGCATGCCCCACGCCCTGGGCAGCTGGGTTGGGGAACCCACCTGAACAGGTGTTGTTGTTGACTTCGTCGGCTGAGGGCCCCACGTCTGCGCCCTGGCCCTGGCCCTCCACAATGCGAAGCTCTTCCTGGGAGGTTCCCGAGCGGGACATCCCCACCACAGGGCAAGACTCGGACTGGAACTGATCAGAGGGGGACCAGAGTCAAAGAGAGCCAGAAGCCGGCTGGGGAGGAGCACCGCAGACCCTGTCACAGGCCCACCGGAGGGCTGTGCCACCCAGAGCCTGGGCTAGGGCCTCCATGAACCCATGCACCAGACCTGCCCCTGCCTTGTGGGGGTCACCCACCTCCCCAAGCCTCAGTTTCCCCTGCTGTGGATGTGTGTCTTTGGATTCTATAGCCTACGGCTATGTGAAGTCTGAGCTGTCCTGGAAACAACTCACCACCCGCCTCTCTACTCTGGTCTTCAGTTCAGCCGGACCCCCGCCTGCCAGGGCCCCTTGCCCAGCAGGTTAGCTCTCTCCCCTCCCCTTCTTGGGCACCCCCAACACTGACAGCCCCTCTAAGAGAAAAGGTGTTGGGCAGACAGACCACCTCGCTCAGGGAGTAGGTCACCCAGGTTCCGGGTGACAGCATGGCCAGGTGGGCACGTGTGAGAAGAGAGTCTAAGAAGCTGGGGGCAGGAGCCACCTGAGCATGGCCTGGGGTGCACTTTGGGGACCTTCCTCCACCACTCTCTCTCTCAAGAGCGGAAGAGGAGACTGAGTGGTCCAGGTGCCACTGGACACAGCGCCGGCCCTTCACATGAGGACCGCAGGTAGGCAGCCTCAGGAGGCCCCTCATTCTCACTGGGTGGCAGGCAGGGAGCAGGCAAAGGGGGCAGTGGGAACGCACTGTCCTGTGGGGACCCAGAGGAGAAACGCCCCAGAGAAGGGAGACAGGGTGGGGATGGCTGCACCTCAGTGTCTGTTCTGGAGGCTAGTGTTGTCCACCTGCTCTGCACCCCGAATTGGACCCTGGAGCGGTCTTGGTGGGAGATGGGCGGATCCAGGGGTCAGGGCAAACCCGGGAAAAGGGGCGTGGTGTGCTTAGAGACAGGGCAGGCTCAGTGCTCTGGACCAGAGGGAAGAACCCCAAGGGGACTTAAAGCCCGTGGGATGAGACAGGGGCGTTAGAGGAGCAAAGTGCACAGGACTCCAGTAAGCGCCAGGCACCTCCAGGTCTGGCACTTGGGAGGGAGCTTGGTACCTTTTCAAAATGCTGGTCGTCAAAGGAGATTTTAGCAGTTCCCGACTGGCGGACGCCAGAGCCATAATCAGGGGCCTCTTCATCAGCTGCAGGAGAAATGGAGCGAATGGTTGGAGCCCAGCTTGCCCCCTGAGGTGGGTGTGGGCAGAGCAAGGCTGGGCCACCCCGCAATCAAAGTGAGGGCACAGGAGCAAGAGCGGGCAGCAGGCCCCTGACTGAAGCTGCCACCCGTGGCTCAGTGACAACCAGGGCATGTCCCCGCACACTGACCACCCGCCTGTACTGCCCAGTGGTCCCAAAGCAGCCATGGCCTCATCACAGCCCACTTTGGTAGAGGTCACAAAGTCTATATTTTCAAAATCAAATATTGCCCAAATTCCCAGGTGCTCAAGCAGAACCCGGGTAGCCCCTCCCCATCCCCATGTGCAGAGACCACCCCGCCAGCCCTGCTGGTTCCACCTCCAGAATCAAGACGTGCCTCTGCCACCATCTGGGTTAAGCTACCACCTATCACCTGTCTAGACATTTGAGGGCCACCAACCGCCCCTCCACGCAACTTCCCAGGCCTGCTGGTGCATCCACCCACACTCCCCAGCCTTCAAAGCTCTCAGTGGACCCACTGCCCGAAGCCCTGGGCTCTGTCCTGCCATGGTTTGCGACAGCCAGCGCCTGCTTATGGAGGAGTCGGTGCTGAGGGAACAGCAAACTGACCTTGCCCAGGTCACAGGCAGGGCTGGTGAGACTTCTGAGACCACCAATGCAAGGGCCGGGGCCTTTTCTAAGTTCCCTTCTCCACCACCACAGCCATCAGACAGGGAAACAATTAGGCGTCACCCAACATAAAATGATCCAGTTGCAGGATGGCCGGCAGGAGGCCTGGTGACCCAGCCCAGGATAGGAGCACTTCCCAGGCACTGTCCCAGCCTGGTTTCCCAGTATATGACCTGGGAGAGCAGGGGCTGTGGCCCTGGGCACACAGACCTGGGCTCAGAGCTGCCGTGCACCTTCCTAACTGGCTACCCTCATCTGAGAGGTGGGGGAACCTCTCAATCCCATAGGGTGCAGGACAGAGGTAGAGCTTTGCACTGAGATTGAACCCGGGGCCTGGGAAATGGGCAACCTCCACGTGGATCCCAGAGGCCCCCTCTGACCAGGGCAGACCAGGACGGCAGTTGCCCTCACAAGGACATGGGCCAGCCCCACAGCCTCTGGTGCAGCCCCACTCTCAGTGGTGGCTGTCAGGGTGGGGGCCAGTGGGAGGAAGTGGTCAGCATGGCTCTGCTCAGCCATCCTGACCACTTGGTGGGAGCTGCTGGCACAAGGCAGGATCGGGAGGACCTGGTGAGGTGGGGGTGGCCCCTCCTGGACGGGAGAGGGAGGTGATAGGTGTTCCCAGCTTTCCTGAGCGTTGCAGCTCCGGTAAACACCCCACCTTGCAGCAGCAGGGCTGGGGCCCTTCCCTGGTGCTCACCCTCCCTCCCCAGCTGGCCCCCAGCTTCTCAGCACGGTGGTATCACAGTGACTGGATGGCAAGCAAAGACATGGCCAGTGGGAGGTGCTGTAAACAACATTTAAAAATCACGGGCTAGGCTGGACACGGTGGCTGGCCGGGCGTGGTGGCTCATGCCTGAAATTCCAGCCCTTTGGGAGGCCAAGATGGGCAGATCACTTGAGGTCAGGAGTTCGAGAGCAGCCTGGCCAACAGGGTGAAATCCTGTCTCTACTAAAAACACAAAAATTAGCTGGGCATGGTGGTATGTGCCTGTAGTCCTAGTTACTCTACTCAACAGGCTGAGGCAGGAGAATCGCTTGAACTGGGAGGCAGAGGTTGCACAGTGAGCCGAGATCAAGCCACTGCACTCCAGCCTGGCGACAGAGCAAGACTTCGTCAAAAAAAAAAAAAAAAAAAAAAAAAAGAAAAAAGAAAAAAAGAAAAAAGAAAAGAAAGAAATTATGGGCTAAGGAGAATTTGACATCAGAGTCAAAATAACTTCATTAATAAGGTGGGATTACAATCGCCCAAGGCAGCCAGGATAGCAGGGCTGGGAGGACCTCTTGTGGGGAATATGAGGTATCTCAGGGCGGAGAATATGAGCCATCTCAGAGTTGGGGGACTTGCCATCTGGGGAGGGGTATGGCCATCTCAGCCTGCTCCAAGTCACTCCTCTGAGCAGCCCCAACCAGGTAGCCAGGAGCCCCCCTGCAGCCATGGATGCACGTCCTCTCTGCATCCATCTGTCTGCCTGTCTGTCTGTACTACGCCCTCCCCAGGGTGCCCAGGCAGCCAAGGCCTTTGAGAGGAAAAAGAGTGGTCCCTGGTGAGGGGAGACCTTGGTGGAGGAGCCCGGGGTGCGCTGGGAAGGGAGTGGGACCTTCCCTCATGGCACAAGCCGCCTCTTGCCCTGCAGCTTCCCAGGCAGCCAAGCTCTTTCACATCTGTGTTCTCGAGTACCCTTCAACATTCCTATCAGGTGTGGAGCATTACAACGGATCCCGTTTACATGTGAGCAAACCAAGGCTCACAGGCTCTCTGGGGCTGTGCTGGTGCCTCCCGCCATCAGGAGCCGGCCGGGCCTGGGCCGAGCAGTGCCAGTCTCCACCTCCCCCAAGGGAGGGGCTGCATCTTCAGGCCCAGTGTGGAGGCAGACAGGCCTGTGCCTGAGAGACCAGGGAGTGCATCAGGGAACCAGAAGCACCCCAGGGAGGGCTGCCCTGAGCAGGGCCCAGGGGCCAGGGACGGTGCCTCGCAAGCCTTTCCTGGGGCTGCGGAGACAGCCGGGCGGGTGGGATGTGCTGACAGAGAGCACCTGCTCTGCAGCAGGCTGGGGGAGGGATCCAGGTGGTCTTGGGTCCATCTGGGGCTGCCTGATGGGAAGGTGGAGACCCCCAACCAGAGCAGGCTCAGATGGCACTGGGCTCAGCCTGCACGGCCCCCAAGGCACCCCCAGCTGACCCCAGGGAGTCCAGGAGGCCAGAGCCAAGAGCTGGGCAGCAGGGGTTTCCCCTCCAGGGCCCACTGGGGGGCAGCAGCCCCAGGTGCCAGCTAAGGACAGGGTGGAAAAACAGCTTCAGGTTGACCCCAGGGAGAGTGGAGGGCCAGCTGAGGCCAGCTTCCCACTGACCACTAAACGAGGCCAGAAGGCCCTTCTCAGGTCCCTGCCTCTGCCTGCAAAGGTGAGAGCCAGCCCCAGAGGCTCCAACGCCACACACAGCCTTTGACCCACACGCACCTGAGATGGCCTGGACAGCCACGCGGAGGAAGCCCTTCACCTCACCCTTCTCGCTGACGATGGCCACACGGTGCACCAGGGGAACGGGGTACAGCAGGTTGCTCAGGTACACGAAGGCCCTGGGGGGAAGTAGAGGCTGTGGTCATGGGCCACCCCTCCATATGTGTTCTGACGGCAGCGGTGGCAGCATGGCCTGGCTCACGACACAACACGGAGCTGCAAAGCAGAGGGAAGCCGCCGGACAGGACAGCCAGGGCCAGGACAGCAAGAGCGGGCGGGGACAGGCAGGGTGGGCACTCGGAGGAGACAGGAGGTGAAGGGACAGAGAGGAGGACGAGGAATGAGCCGCGGCGAGCAGAGGCACAGCCCAGTTGGGCCCGGACCTGGCTGCCTGAGAAGGGAGCACCCGAGGAGGGAGGTTTCAGCCTGCTTCAAGGAGGACGGGGGCCAGACCAGGACTCAGACCACACTGTGCTGCCCACCCTTTCACACTGGCACTGATGGCCAGCATTGCTCTGCCTCCTGCCCACTTCCCAGGGGTCCCTGGCACTCACAGACCCCACAGAACCCCTTCCCTGAACAGAAACTCAACAGGTGGGAGCTCCGAGGTGAGTTGGCCAAGATGAGGCACCCCTAGTCCAGGGCCCAGGGAAGTGCTGAATGGAGCCCTGAGGACACCCCCAGGGCCATGGTGCAACCCAGAGCACCAAGACCCCTCCTTTCCCAGGACCAGCCTAGGCAGAGACCACGAGCAACTATGGTCGCCAGACAGCTGCTGCGTTCCCTGTGCTGACCAATATGTGGGCAGCTGGGAAGACAGAGAGGACCCCGGAAGACCCACGCCACCCAGCCAGGGGGAAGGATACCCTGCTTCCTGCTCCAGGCAGGTGTGGCTCTGAGCACCGTGACCTCCGGCATGGGAAAGGGCCATGCCTGGGGCCCTCAATTCCAGAGCAGACACTGATGAGGGGTTGAGTGAGACTCAGCGGGCTGTGAATGTCCAACACCTCTCTCAGGTGGGCTCCTGACCTTGCTCCCTCCACCCCCAACCCCCCCGACTTCCCTGCAGCAGCAAGTTGAAACCAGCAGCACCGTGGCCTCTCCTACTCATCAAATCCATCAGTTCCACCTCAAAAGTCTTCAAGAAGCCCCCTCAACTGTCCCATCACCACCAGCCACCCTGCCATGGCCTCCACAGCAGCCAAAAAGGTCTCAAGGCGCCAGTCAGACATCCTCCCATGCCTTTGGTGACACCCAAGCTCCTTGCAGGGGCATCCACGCCCCACGTGGCCCTGGGGGCCCAGGCCCTGCCTCCCCACCACAGTCAAGCTCGGCCTTGTGGCCCATGGGTCCATGGATGCCCCGGGTATGCCTGCTCCCAATGCAGAAGCCCCACCCTCCATCTCATCGGCTGCCTCAACCCTCCTCAGAGGCCCCAGCATCCCAGCAACTGTCAGGACCTTCCCCTTGGCCGTCTCGTTCATTCTGACTTTACACACCCCACGGAACCTCCCTTGCTTTCTGAGTGGCTCTGCTAAACTGAGACCTGACCACTGCCCCCACCGCAAAATGGCCCAGGCAAGGTTTGTAGTAGGAAAAGGGTGTCGCTGCCCTCCAGGGGCCTGAAAGTCTCCTCAGTCCTCCCTCCTGGGGTAAAGGAAGCCCCTGGTGGCTTCTTGGGCCCTCTCCCCAGCACAACACGCCTCTGAAGATGTCCCCCAAGAAGCGAGTGCTCCACACCCACGGAGCCCATCAGGGAGGGACCTGTTACCCACAGGGCTGCAGGTGGCTCTGCCTGACTTAAGTGTTGGGGCTGGGGTTCCACTGCCCTGGGCCACCCACCCAGGTTATGTCCAGAAGCACCCAGGGAAACTCAGCCTGGCCCTAGTCATGAGAGGACGTTGAGGCCCACAGGGTGGGGGCCCCTCCCCACAGTCCTGCTGGGTGCCCTACAGGCAGGGACTCACCAGCATCCCCTTGGGAGGGGGACGCCAATGCCTTCCCTCCCCAGGGCACCCCGGGCTCCTGGGCAAGGGTCTCTGCTTGACAGTGGGGGTGGGAAAAGGGGCTGCTACAAACTGAGCAAAGCTAAGATGTTCAGGAGTGGGGGTGGGGAGAGCCAGGACTTGGGCCACCAGACAGCACAGGCTCTTCCCAGTGGCTGGCGCACCACACTGGAGGAGACGTAAGGAGACCAGGCGGGACAGCCTACGCTGCCAGGCTCTGAGCCAGCGCCTGCCCTCCAGCCCCCACCCACCCCACCCTTTCCCAGAGCCAGTGCCCACTGCAAAAATCCCACGGTTGGAGGGCAGAAGGGCACTGAGGATGAAGAGACTGCCCCACCCCCACCCCACTCTGCAGGGAGCCCATAGGGTGGCCCTCAGAGAGGGGGCGGGACCGGGGACAACTCCCACTGTGGGCCAGGTGAGGACACTCAGGCACGGGGTCCCTGAATCCATTGGCACAGCCTCACAGGAAGGAGAGACTATAGCTGTCCAGGGCCACCCAGACAGGGTCAGACACTACCTCTCCTACCCCAAAGATCCCTCGCCAGAGCTGCCTTCCCAGAAGCTTAGGGCAATTCCGCAGGGGCTGCTGGCAGTGAGCAGAGCCCTGGGCTCTGGGGCCATCCACATGTGCCACTCACGGCACCACAAAGGTGACCCACAAACCTCTGAGCTCCCCAGGACCACACCCAGAGGGAGGAGACTTCTGCACCTGAGTGAGGAAAGGGGCTACCCCCTCCCCACTCTTAGCTCTCAGGGTCTCACCTGACCCCCTCTTCACCTCCTCCACTGCCCTGAAAGGCCAGGTCCAAAGGGGTCTGAGGCCGTGCACAGACAGGTAAACTGAGGCAGGGGCCAGGCCCGTCCCAAGTCACATGGTGAGACTGCAGCAGGCAGGCCCCTTCCTGGCTGTCTCCACAGGGCCTCCCTGCTGAACAAATGCTGTGTGGAACTGACTCTGAGGGGACGCCTTCTGCCATGTTGCCAACCGTAGGCTCAGGCACCAGCAGCACAGCACAGACGCAAGTGCCCCACAAATCAGACAGGGGCTGGGCTCAAGGAGGCTCAAGTCCCTCACAGCCCCAGGCTCAGATCATCCCATTGTGAAGCAACATGGCAGAAATCACAGCAGCCAGCATCTGTAGAGGCACCCGAGGGGCCAAGCACCATGGTGAGCACACAGGGCCTTTTGCTCTTCTGTCTCCTGGGAGGCAGCGCACCCCCATCTCCTCGCCAGGGCACGTCCTAATAAACAGCCATCTCAACTCAACCAGCGGCACCCTTCTTTCTTGGAGATGCACAAAATCCACCCAGGGTCTCAGCACATTGGAACAATGAAGAATGGTACTTATACCCCATCGCACAGAGGAAGAGCCTGAGGCACAGAGATTAAGGAAGTGGCCAGGGCCTGGCAGCCAGGGCCTGCGCGGGACTCCTCTCCAGCTCAACTGTGTGAACACCAAGCTCCCCAGCCACTCTGAGTGGGCAGTTCGCCTGGGCACCTGCTTAGTATCACAGCTGATTAATTCAGCAGATTGACTGTTTCATGCTTTTTTCAGATTGTCCTCATGCTGGGAGCTAGGGGGACCCAGACACTGCAGCACCACAGACTGCTGCTGCTTTCAAACAGATGGGCAAGATGCAGCCCAGACTGCGCCCCAAAGGTGGGGACTGCTGGGGGTGGGGCCCCGAGGGACATCCAGGTGGAGGTTACACAATGAAAAGGACTCCTGGGGTCTGACACCAAATGCTCCCCGATCTCTAGCGCACCCTGTGGGCATCCTCATGGCACTGACCCAGGCCCCAGGCCACCCGTGAGACACGTGGATCTGGCTGTGGCTCTGGTGTCGGGTGTTCTCCTCTCCCCACTGCCCGTCCCAGTCTGCCTGGCTTAGTGATAGACTTGTTCAGCCAGAAGGGACCTCTGGGGCCCGGAATCCACTGCCCCAGTGGCAGCACCAGCCTCAAGAGAGCTGTGAGCTGGGCCTGGAAGGTGCCCCCCCACTCTGTGAAGAGACCATGCCAACCAATGCACCTGAAGTGTGAGGCGATGGGGCAGAGCGCTGGTGCCTGGCATCTTGGAGCCTGGCGTCTCTGCCCAGTGGAGATACCCTCCCAGGCGACAGGCCTGGGCAGGCCATGCCCCCCACCTGCCCTCCAGGTGCCAGAAATAACCTGACATGTTGGGAGCCAGAACATAGCCCAGGCCTGTCCCTACCTGCCGCAGACACACCCAACGCACAGAGAGTGGCTCTCAGGATCTCAGGCCGAGAAATGCCATCCACAGCCATGCTGCGAATACCAAGAGAGAGGGGCCCCAGCCCACCGAGAGCACCATGTGGGACCCAAGGGAGTGGTGTGGTCTTGCCAGCCCAGGGGGTAGGCACAGAGCTGACCCTGAGTGAAGCCCTCGAGCCGGAGCAACATTTATCGACCCAGCCCTAGACACCTGCGCTCCCTTCCCAGCCCTGCTCCCCTCCCAGGGACCCTCATCCCAGGCAGTCAGCCTCTCGCCCTGCTCTCTCTGCAGCTCCTGTGCCCACCCACCCTTCCTGTGTTTCCTACCCCTCCTGTGCCAGGGGAAATCAGAGCCCCAGGCCCACTCCTGTTGGAATATGGGCAGTGGTCACCAACCCAACTGCCTCCCCAGGTCACCCGGTGCCCCAGACTGCCAGAGGCAGAGGCCCCTGGGGGCCGACCCTGGCCTTGGGTGAGGAGCCCCAGTGTGGAACACAGGAGGCCAGTGCTGGATGGGCCTTCCGCAGAGGCCAGGGTACCTTGAAGCAGACTGAAACCAGCCCGAAAGAGGCGGCAGCAGAGGCAGACAGAGCGAGGGCTGAGTGTGGCGGGAGGGAGGGAGGAGGCAGGCGCTAACCACAGATTGGTGAGGTGCAAAGACGCATGCTGGGACCCAGGGAAGCCTTTCCAGAGGGGACAAGAGTGGGTGCCCCAATTTCGCTGAAGCTTTGGAGAGAGAGCCAGCAGCTACCAGAAGGTTAAAGGAAAATCAACGAGGAGCCTTCCCAGGGCTGGGCCTGCACAGCTGCTGCGTGGGAGAAGCCAATTCTTGCCAAACCAAAAAGATTAAGATGATTCCAAATGAAGCCCTTCACAGACCACCCCGCAATATGGGGGCCAGGTCTCTCTCTGATGACTTTTGTTTGGTTTGGTAGTTTTGTAAAATCTCAAATCCACAAAAGGGGAAAAAAATGTTGGAAGGACCCAGCTCTTTCTGGCTGAGACTGCGAGAGCCCCACCCCACTTCTCCTGATGTCCTCGTCCCCCTGTGCGTCCTGATCCCTCACCTGCCTGACACCCGGAGCCACTCCTGGGGCCCAGCAGGTGCAGGGGCCTGGCCCTACAGCCCGGGGCTTTCTGAGAGAGGCCTGCATGGAACCGGCCTTGGGGTCCACTGCTCCCTCTTGGGCACTGTAGAGTGGGAAGTACAGGCCCAGAGCATGTCAGAGGGAGGGTGCCACAAGCTTTTATCTGGTGGGCCAGCTTATCTCACCTTACAGCCTAGTAACACTCAGGGAAAATTAATCCGAATAAATCCATGGCATGGGCCCATGGGGACCTGCTGTCTTCCAAGAGGGAGGGTGAGGCTTTCCTTCCACCATCTCCACCCAAAGACAGAGTGAAGCCCGTGCAAACTCTGTGATCTGGGGCCACCCTCAGCCTTCAGCTGTCAGCACGGCTGCTCCAAGCTCAAGACTTCTGAAAACTTCCGCTGGCCTAGCCCAGGGAAGCAATCTTAACCTCCAAAAAAGGTTGTTATTAAGAATTATCTTATGATATTCATATATGAAAAACATATAAATTCAGCTGTTTCCTGAGCTGACTTTCAGACTACTCCAGCCAGGTTTCTAGATCTTTCCTTCACCTGACTTCCCTTCCATGATAACAGGAAGGCAGTTGGATTTGCCAAATCTGCCAGAAAAGCAGGACGCCTGCTCCCTGGGTCTGGGCTTCCCCAGCCTCCATTCTGTCTCCCAGCCGTGGTCTCTCATCGATTTGGGCAACGTGGTAACTAGCTTCTCTCTGCAAAGGGCACGTTCCATGAGGGCACTGGGTCACATGTCCCCATCTCTGGCCATGACAACTGAGGAGGTCAGGAGGGATGCAGTCGTCCTCACCTTTAGACGGGCATGGTTTGCCCAGGCCCCACTGCTTCAGAGGGAGATGGGAGGGTGAGCAGTTGCCTCCCACTCCTAAAAGGAAGGCCTTCCCTGGCCTCAGGATGGCTGCCTCTGGGTTCAGCTCCTTTCCCCACAGAGAGTGGAGAGCACTGAGCAGCTGGGAGCCTCTGTCTCTTCCGGATGACAGCTGAGCTGGGGTGAGGCTGCCTGCGCTAGGACAGTGTTGATTCCCAGGAGAATGACAGAACGGGCATCCAGCTTGGGGGTGGCTGGCCCTCACCTACCAAATGCCCCTCGGGCCCTGCACTGGGACTTTCAGGGAGGAACTCGGCCATTGGGTGCCTGAGCCACCCTGGGGTTCCTACGGCCTCTCTGCAGAAATAGTCCCACCTGCCTGGGGTCACAGCTGCAAGCTCCGGGGTGCACTACTTCTTCTGTACCTGGAACCCGGACTCTTCCCTGCTGGCCCAAAGCGACCGTCTCCAGGATGGGTGAGCAGCCCCACTGCAAGGATGCAGGGCCCGGGGGCCCTTGGGTGCTCTCCTCAGGAGGTCAGCCCCTCCACCTGCCTCGCCTGCCCTGGGAGGGCCCGGGCCAGGCCCCAGCGGTCCATCTGTGCCCGCAGCAGTGCTCCTGTGCAAAAGAGCTGGGTCCTCCCCAGCATGCTCTCCTCGACCTCACCAACCTTCCTACTAAACTGAACAGGGGGGGCCGGTCGTAAAACGGGTCCCGGCCGTCGCACAGCTCGTGCTCCGGAAAGACGTCGTCCTCCAGGTCCTCCTCCTCCTCCTCCTCCTCCTCCTCCTCCTCCTCCTCCTCCTCCTCCTCCTCCTCCCCCACGCTCTGCTCCTCGGCAGGCTCGGTGGCGTCGGAGTCGGGGCTCGAGAAGGTGGGGGAGGGGGTGAGAGCAGCCATGCGCTCGCTCATGCATGTGTTCAGAAGAGGGTAGCTGTTGCAGCCAGAGATGGCTGAACTGAGGTTAGTGCGACAAGACAGAGAGAAGTTAACACCAGCGACTCGCAGGGACGAACAGGGGCTGGGGCCGGGGCTGGGGGGAACTTCTGTTTAAAACCAAAACCAAACACACAGACTATCGAGAATGCTGCTTTAAAAGACAAGAGAACCAAAACTGTGCCCCCAGTCTTGGAAAGAAATCACATGTATGGCCAGCAGGAAGGTTCCGGAAAGTTCCGGAGGACACCTGCAGGTGGGACTGAGAACAGGGTTCTCGGCTGGGAGTGGCTGAGGCCATATGAGGACCTTGAGAGTTTGGCCACTTTGAGGCCTCAGAATGCCACAGTCCTATGGGGTGAAGGGGGCTGGGTGCAGACCCCAGACTGGGAGACCAGGGAAGGAGGCAGTCGTCTCTAAGGCTTGGGTGACACAGCCCTGCCTCCATGTTCCCACCCTCAGGGCCACCGGGTGACCCGGAACATTTGCTTGGGAGCCTCACATATTCACACACGATGCATGGGTTCTGGCGGCCACAGTCCTGTAGTGGATTTGGGTGGCAGTGCCAAGACCCCATCCCACGTCCCCTGAAATAATAGGTCCTGTGGTGTGTGGAGAGGAATGGCTGGGAGGAACCTCAGGCCAGGGAGGACAGGGCTGGAAGTCTGGGGCTGGAAAAGCACCTGTCAGGGCCGCTCCTTGTGTCAGGCCAGGGCCCACTCCTACCCCCACTGCCATCTCTCTCTCTCAGTCTCTCTCTCTCTCTCTCTCTCTCTCTCTCTCTCTCAGTCTCTCTCTCTGCCAAGGAAGGGAGGAGGTGCCCACCTGCCCACCAGCCGGAACCAGGGGAAGCGGTCATAGAAGGGGTCTCCGCCGGTCACCACGTTGTCACAGTCCTCAATGACACTGGAGGGCACCTCTGCAGCGCGGTCGTACATCTCCCGCATCAGGTCCAGGCGCTGCCTGCAGGGACGGCAGGGGTCAATGTGGACCCAGGCCCAGCACTCAGTAGCCGGCACTACACACCCTTATCTCCTGGGGACAATGAACTCAGCCCAGCTCCAGCCACAACATCCAGCTCAGGGTCATCAAGGTTCAGGGGGCTTGCTAGACAGACCCCTCTGTGACCCTTGGAGCTGGTCAGCCACAGGTAACACACTCAGCTAAGCATGCAAGGTCACCAACAGCTCCTCCCAAACTCCCACCAGGGGGTGGGCCGGGGAACCAGCAGAGGGGGGCTCGAGGTGCTGGCAGCACTGGGCTGCTGGAAAGTCAGCAGAGAGGCAAGAAGAGAACCCAAGTGAAGCTCAGAAAGGGGGATCAGGCCACAGAGGCCCAAGAGCTCAAGGAATAAAGGGCAAACTGGAGGTAGGGACACAGAAGACAGAGAAAATAGCCTAAAAATTATTATTATTGCGGGAGCACTCCCCTCAAATGTTGTGGAAGGAAAGAAAAGCAATCATTGTGCCCCTAGGTCTCAGGTATAAGAGAAACCACATCAACAGTGGCTGCCCGTCCTTCCAAAAGCCACGTAACCTGGGAGAACAGGGGAGAAGAATGAGGAGCGTGTGTGTGGGAGTGTACGCTGCATATATGTGCACGTCTTCATGAATGCTTATTAGTGTGTGTGTGTTTGCATGAATGTGTATGTGTGCTTTATTTTCTGTGCTTGTGATGTTTTGATATCCTTGGGGGGCACTGCAGGCTGGGGAGAGCTGCCCAGGTCCTGCTAATTCCTAGAGACAGTCAGCAACTTGCCATCACCCCTGCCTTTCCTACACAAGCCAACCAATCCCAAGTCTGTACCCCAGCCACCTCCCTTCTCTAACTTTTTCACACACCAGACCAATATTCCCCCTGGCCTAAATCACCCAGGGTCAGGTACCTGACAACTAGGGACAGCCCTATGCCCCACAGCTCTGCAGAATTATTCAAACTAGCCAAGCCTAAGCAGTCTCCTTGCCCTGCCTGGCCTTTCCCACAACCCCAGGCTGTGGACTGGGCCTTCTCCCACTCCTTTCTGCCTCCCGATGGGCCCTGGTGCCTCCCGATGTAGCCCTGCAGGGCGGGGCGTGCCATGCTCTGCTTTCCAGGGGCCTGTGAGTGACATTCAACTCCTCCACTGTTGGTGCTGACCTCACAGGGTGACTCAGTCACCCCCATAACTTAAGGCCTGGCTGGGCGCAGTGGCTCACACCTATAATGCTAGTACTTTTGGAGGTCAAGGTGCAAGGATTGGTTGAGGCCAGGAGTTAGAGGTCAGCCTGCGCAACAGAGTGAGACCTCATTTCTACCACACAAAAAAAATCAAAAATTAGCTGGGTGTCATGGTGCACTCCACACCTGTCGTCCCAGCTACTTGGGAGGTTGAGGTGGAACAATCACTTGTGCCCAGGAGTTCGAGCTGCAGCGAGCTGTGATCACACCACTGCACTCCAGCCTGAGCAACAGAGCAAGGCCCTGTCTCTTAAAGAAAAAAATAAATCAATTAATTAAGGCTCAAGACAAATCAGAGTGAGCATGTGGGGACAGCAGAGGCCGAGCTTTAGGAAGGACACGTGCTCACATTGGGCACAAAGGAACACAGCCCAGGCTTCCTCCTCGCCAGCCCCACCTTAGCTCCTCCTCCACCTTCCACTGGGCTCAGCTAAGGGATCCACCTCCCAGTAGCTTCCTGAATGGAGGAGCAAGGGGACATTCCTTCCGCCCCCCACCACCTCTCCCAGCCCCTCTGGGGAGCCACCCTTCAGGCCCTGCTGTACCCACTCTGGGTGCTCCGCCAGCCTGTTCTGTCAGTGCCACAGCCTGCCCTCCCCTCCACTGCACCATCCTGACCCCTGTGGGCCTAGGGAGCATTCCCCTCATCTATCCTTTCCTCCTAAAGAAAACACCCAAATCTACGTTTATGTATGATTGCTGCATTGGTGGTAAGAGAATGAGGATTTACACGGCTGGACTCTATCCACATTTTTCTTCTGATTTTAAAAGAATTGGAACAGGAGGAAAAGCGGTGTATGCAGGTACTTGCCTCGAAGCCTGTACCCACCACCGCTCCTGTGGCCTCAGCCCTGCCCAGGAGGACCCTCCCACCGTCCACCCAGCAGCCCTCCAGCCACACCTGAGCTTCTCCAGCGTCCAGTAGTGGGTGGCCCCGTTCTTCTGATCCTGGACCTCCACGGCCACAATAGTGCGTGGGAAGGGCCGCGTCTCTCGGTCTTTGGCGGCCTCTGGGGGCAGCAGGTCGGGGGGCAGAGGGGAGTAGAGTGTGTCCGTCAGGAGGACAAACTGGAATTGTACCTGTGATGGGGGAAGATGACCACTCATCAGCTCCTTGGGGGACAGGGTGCCAGGTCCCCAGAAAGGTTTCCTTCCCACCTTCTGGAGATTTCAGCTGCCTGCCCCACAGTGGTTCACTGGAACCTTCCAGACAGCCACCAGAGGGGACCACCTGCTTTCTGCCTGTCCACCTGGCCTCCATCTCCTGTGAGCAGGGCAGCCAATTCCCACCTGGCCAGTCCTGGGCTCCCTCACCGCCCACCCTTCTGGGGGGCCCAGGTCAGGCAGGGCTGCTACGCCACCCCCAGGGCCAGCAGACAGCCAAGCGCTGAGTCCCAAGCAGCTGTCCCCGTCATGAGTGAGGTGACGCACTCTCTCCAAGAGGAAACAGTGCAGCCAGTGGGCAGCCCACCTTCTTTTTCAGCTCCACACTGATGGCATTGGCCTCCTTGAGGAAGATAGCATTGCCCCACAGCAGGTCCCGCAGAGACGTAAACTGGTACCACTTCCACTTCCGGAAGGCCCAGAGTGCCAGCTCACACTCCCGCTCCGTCCACTGGACTGTGGGGAGAGGTCACAGGTGGTCATCGCAGGAAGGCCACGACCCGGCCCACCATGTCCCACCCTCTGGAAGGTCCGTCTGGTCATCCACTCCACGGGGCTGCCTAAGCTGGCCCTGTGCTCTGTGTACATCACGGCCGGGTGGTCATCAGGTAAAAAGATAGAAGGCCGGAAGGTTACTCCCCCTGTAGTCACTGAGGCCGGAGGTGGATGGGCCCCTCTCTCCCCAGGTTTCCTCCCACTCTGGGCCTGGGTTGGGAGAGCTCTGTGCTTGGCCCCGCTGTTTCACACTGACGATTTGGGTACACAGAAAGAAGAAACCGGCAGAGAGCTCCGTCACGGTGGGCAACATGAAAAGCTCTGCGTGCCCCAAAGGAAAGGCTGCCGTAAGCAGCCTTGTAAGTCAGGCTGAAGATAAGAGTGGCTGGGGAGCAACACTGTCAATGACAGCCACATGCCATCCGGGGCCAGCAGTGGGGAGCAGGACCCACAGGAGAGGAGGCAGGAGGGCAGGCCAGGTCCTCGCAGGCGGCGCTGGCCCATACACCCTCTCCCCGCCCATGCCCTGTCTGTCCACTGGGCCCTTGAGAGAAGGACAAGCAGGGACACAAGGAGGGACTTGTCCTTGTGCTGAGGCCCCACCTCTCCTCCCAACACAGCACTACGTGCCTTTGGCTGCCCCCAGTCGGGCACGCCTGAGCTTTGCAGTGGGAGGCAGCCTCGCTGGGTAAATGAGGCCAAACAGGGGAAGAGGCCAAGGTCATGCCAGCACAAAGCTACCGACCAGCTGGCCAGAGGCCAAGATGGACACAAACCCCTCCCCACCTGCATGTGGGCCACCGCTGCCCACAGCTGTGGGAGGTCAGCCGGGTTGGCCCCCCGAGCGCACGCTCACTAAGGGAATCCTGAGGTGATGTGCACGGTGGACTCTTCCTCGGGGACCCCAGGAGCCTTGTGGTCAGCAGGACGGGAAGAGTGGACGCCTATGAGCATGGTGAGCCCCTACCAGCCCCATTCCCCATTCTCCATCAACATCCAGACACTCCTGTCAGAGGCAACATGTGTGTGTACACGTGTGTACGTGTGCACGTGAATGTGTGCCTGTGTGCACACACGCAAGTGTGTGAGTGTGCAGAGCTGCTTGCTAGCTGTGGCACAGTCTCTCCACTCCCCAAATCCTGCTTTCACGGGACTTCCAGGGCAAGGGGGTCTCCCCTAAAGAGACAGGTCCAGACCCCAGTGCAAAAGTGCTGACCAGTGACCTCCAGGGAGGGGCCCAGGGCTGCCCACCTCCACGCTGAGACCCTCCTGACGCAGCAGGTGCTGGCCCAGTGACCCCTCACCTTCATCCTCGGGCTCCTCCTCCTCCTCGTTCACCTCCGGGTAGTACCTGGAGTCCATCTGCTTCTGCAGAGCCTCCAGCTTGCTCTCGTAGTCCTGCAGAAAGAAGGCCTGTGACTCCACTACGGCCCTACCTGCCTGGGCCTCTCGCACTGTGCCTGGACAGTGGGCCTCACCACATCCCACTGTTTGGATGCAAGAGATGGGGCCAGGCAAGCAGGGAGTGGGGGCATGGGAGGACAGGCGTCCTCTGGCGTAGGTGGCGGCTCGCAGGGAGGGCGGGGCCGCGTCACTCACCAGCCGCTGCTGCTCCAGCAGGTAAGTGGCCTCCTCCCGCTCGCGGCGGTACTGGTCCTCCAGTTCCTGGAGCCTGCAATGGGGCGTTGGGGTGAGCACGGGAGGGCAGGAGCGGCAGCAGGCAGACGGGGGTGTCCTCCGCCTCACCTCTGTTCCATCTCCTGCTTCATGTCGATGCCCTGCTTCTCCAGCAGCTCACGCTGGGCGAAGGCCCAGTCCACAGGCTCAGCTGGCGTCTCCGCACAGGGCGTGCGCTCACGCTCCTGCCGGGCCTGCTCGGGGTGGTTGAACCGGAACACGTGGCTCTTACCCATGATGATGCGGTTTCCTGGGGGACCAAAGGACAGGTGGCCTTGGGGGACCTTCAGGTCTCTGATGGTCTCAAGCGGGGAGACGTGAGGAGGAGGAGGAATGGGTGCAGGCACCCCACCATCCCCAGCTCCCAGCCACTCCTTCTCCAGCCCTTGCTGGGACCTGAATGTGTCTCCTCACTCTCCCCATAAATCCACCCTTGGCTGCTCTCTACTCAGCAGCCAGTGACATTTCCAAACCACAGATGTGGGGCCTCTGCTGTGCTCCAGTGTCCCTGCCCCTCCCCAGGCCAGCCTTGCACTTGCCTCCTGCCCCCAAGCCCCCATGCACATAGCCAGGACCCTCCCTCTCACATCCAGTCTGGGGCTGGTGCCCCCCAGGGCTGGGCTTGGGCCCTCCACAGAGCACTGTTGCAGGGCGCAGGACCCTTCCCTTCTATCTGTCTTCCCCACTAGACTGGAAGCAGGGCTGGGGCAGGTCCCCTGTGCCCAGGGCCGGGGTTCAGGGTCCGGAGTCAAGAGACCACAAGAAGGAAGCAGGGGTGGCAGCTAGCAGGCACAGGTGGCTGCAGAGCCTCAGCATTGGGGCCTCCAAGGTGTGGGCATCAGTCCAGCCCCTCCTACCCTGGCACCCGACTGGACCCCACTCAGGGCTGCCTCATCTGCAGGGCCCTCCAGGGCAGCACTCACTGTCTTGGGACAGCCCTGCGTGCAGGGGCTCTCTTTGGATGGCCTAGTTTTCCTCTGACTTTCCCTGGGAGCTGTAGCTCTGTCTTGGGGCTCCACAGAGCCGGCTCTGCCCTGCTTCCCACCCAGGTGGACTGTGCCTGCAGGTCTGTCCTCCCTCAGCACCTCCTTGTTGGCCGCTCTCAGCTGGCCACTTCCTCTGTCCTCCCTGTCCAGAGGCCGTGCACAACCCACCTTGGACACTGGGAGGGAAACACCAAGCTAAGGCCTCTCGTAGCTTAGGTCCCGCCCTGAGCCCCACAGGCACCAGGGCCAACTCCGAAATAAGTAGGGAGAATGGGCACAGCTGTCTGTCTGTCCATCTGACCTGCTGTTGCCCAGGCTTAGCCACACCGACTGCCCATGACAAGGCTACCCCGCAAATTCAGGACATTCAGCGTGTCCTGCCCTCCTGCCCAGGGACCCCAAAGGCGGGATTCCTGAGTCCCGGGGACTCCTCTGAAAGCCTTCAGGGGTGGGCAGATGGGCTAGAAGTGGGGCCCCTGGGTGTCACTTGCCCCTCCTCATCCCTCTGCTTTCCCCCAAGACAGGGTCGGGAAAGGGTCTCCCCTGTTCCAAGCCAATGGTCACTTTTATGTCAGCCTGGCCAGGCCACAGCACCCAGTGATTCAGCCACGCCCTCCCCAGGTGTTGTGTGGAGGTTTCTGCACATGTGCTCCACACCTGCAAGCGACTGATGGAAGTCAAGGAGGCTCCCAACGGTGGGGTGGGCCTCGTCCAAGCAGGTGAAGACCTAAGAGCAAACTGGGGCTTCCTCTGAGGAAGAAGAAACCCAGCGGATGGAGTCCACTCCTGCCGAGTTCCCAGCTTGCCACCTGCCCATGGATTTCAGATTTCCCTGACCAGCCCCCCTCATCTGATAAGCCAATTCCTTGAAATAAATCTCTTTATACCTAGACATGGTTGTACGTATCTCACTACATCTCAGTCTACAGCCTGTCTCACTACACCATGTCTATAGCCATGTCTGTGCGTCAGGCTGCTGCTGTTTCTCTGGTGGAACCCTAACTGCCTGGGTGATAGTCACACGCCACTCAAGAGGGCCCCCGTCTGACTTCTCTAAAGAAGGGACTTTACACCATGTGTGCCTGCACATGTTTGAATATCACAGACACTGCAGTATCTGGGAACAGAGCCCAACCCCACCTGGGGTGCTACATTCAGAGGCTGGAGCAGCCCCCACCCCGCTGACGCTCCACAACACCTCAGCTCTGGGAAGCCTCTGTCCAAAGCCCTGTCTCCCCCAGACCAGTCCCACAGGGCAGAGTCCTGGGCCGGGAGGCAGGAGCTTCTTCCCAGGCAGGCAGACCCTGCTCCTTCCTCAGCCCCCAGCATGGACTCAGTGTCTCAGGGTCCTTGTGTTGTGTGAATGGGGCCTGTAGCGCTGTGTTCCTAGAGCTGGGGGACTGGGGAGGCACGTGAGCTGGTCAGGTACCCGCAGCCCCCTCCCCTACCTGCCCCGCAGCCCTTAAGAGCTGCCGTCCCGCACAGTACACAGCAGGTGGTGGCTTAGACATGGGAACAGAGGTCTCATCTCATGCCTCTGTCTACCTGACCGGCCCCTGGAGTCCCCAGCCATACCTGACCGCAGGATGCTGGGTTCTGTGACTTTCTTGCCGTTGACGTAGGTGTCTGCCCCCTCACAGGGCTCCAAGGTCACCACAGCTACAGGAAAGGTGGGAGGGGCAGAGAGGAGGAGTATGAGGGGCTATCACCTACAGCAGCTCTGCTTACCTGGCCCCTGGGCATGGCCTCCTCCAGGCCTCTCTTCTCCCTGCTACACAGACCTTGACCATTGGCAACACTCATTTGGGCCTCAGAGGAGCCTAGGGGTCTCACCCCACCCAACAGAGGAAGAAAGCGACCCCCAGGAGGAGGATGCATGTGCCCACGTTGAAGCCGAGAGGCTGTGCTGGGCCTGATCACCCAGGGCCCTGTCCAGCTCTCCAGGTAGACAAGGATAAAAACACCAGCTAATGGGGCCTGGGCCACCCTACAGGCAGGACTTTGCAGTCAGAGAATTCCAAGAGAGCCAACCGTCCCAACACCACTTAGGGCCATCATCCTGAGATGGCCAAGTTGGACAGTGGATGTCAGTCACAGGTCTGCAGGCCAGAGGCTGGCTGGATGCTGCCAGGAGATGCCCTTAGCCCAGGCTGTGGGCCATGTGATAGCACACCGACACCACAGGCCCATCCCCGAGTTGGGCAGCACCAGGCAATGGGGACAGCCCCACGTCATCTCCGGGAGGGAGATCACTGGGCAGGCAGGGGACACGGACAGATGGCCGCCCACAGCCAACAGGAAATCAAGGTCTGGAAATAGTTTTCCACCCTAGATCTGGGCTCACTCCTCATGGCTCACTGTCCTCCCGCCATGAACATCCTCCACCCTGGGCCCCAACACACTTCCCGGCCAGCAGCCCACCTGTGCCCCCACTTCCAGCCCTCAAGGAGGCTCAGCTCCCTAAGGCAGCAGCCACCTCTGGCCACAGAAGGCACCAGGCATTTTCCCAAGCACCAACCTAATGGAAGTTGTCTTCAAGGCTGGCCCCAAATGTCTCTCTCTCTCTTTGCCCCCCACTCCCCACACACACACACACATCCTGCCTAGAAGTATGACTCGCCACCCACTTAGAGCTGGGGAGGCTGGGAGAGGCTGACCTCTTCAGGCCGGATCATCACAGCACAGGGGCGTGGGTGCGGGTGGGGACGGTAGGGTGGCCATACCTTCACTGCCCCCCCTGGAGTCGCTCCGGAAGACGCAGTGCTCCTCCTTGATGAAATGCCCACTCAGAACGATGTCCTGCCGCCTCTCGCCATCCTCCCGGCCCACTCTGTGGGGTGAGGGCACCATCAGAACTGCAGCCGGGACCCAGCACACCCAGGATGCCACCCACTGGCCTCCAGGGATACCCAATCAGGATTGTTTGGGAAACGCCCAGGGCAAACATCAGCAGTCGCTGGAGAAGTCCAAACTCAGTGGCCCCTCTGCAGCAGCTGGAATGGGGAGTCCACCCTTCCTCTGCCAGATCCCAGGGCCTGGCCAGGCTGGAGTGGCTGCCAGGTCCCCTCTCACCTGGTGATCCCATCCTTGATGTAGTAGAGGAGGCACTCGGACATCAGTGGGTCCTCATTCAGGTTGACGAGGTGTGGTGTCTGCAGAGAGATAGGAGGATCATCTTTCCTGCAGAGGGGCAGGAGCCCGACGCTGGCTGCACCCCGCTCTGACCTCTCCCCAGGCACCAGACCACCACCAGGGCCCCGCCCCCATACTCGGCTGGTCCTACCAGGCTGGTCACTCCAAGCCAGGAAAATGAGGAACACAGAAAGCGCAAGCCGTAGGCCCAGCCCACCAACAGCAGCAGGCTGGTGGGACCCGACCACCCGCATACACCCAGGCCTGGCACGGCAGCCCCAGCACTGCAGCAGAAGCTGGGCTTCCAGAAAGGCAGACGACCCCTGCTGTCAGCATGTCGAGCCCCTGGGGCCCTCTGAGGCTGGGGTGAGACTCCAGATGTGCAGACCACAGGCTTTGTCCCATGGGGTCCTGGGTTCTCAGTTTTGGACTGTAAAATGGGATTCCAGGACCCCATTCCAGCTCAGACAGCCCAGAAACCATGGGCTTGCCAGTGGGAGCCAAGAACCAAGAAGGATCAGGACACTGACCATGGAAGGCTCAGCCCTGGGGTCTGGGGACTGAAGCAGTTGTGAAAGGATCCTTGATGAGCCACCTGAGGCACCCCCACACAGAGAGGTGGAGACCTTGACACTGGACGAAGGGGACAGACCATCCCCAGCCATCCCTGCCCCCCGAGTGGCGAAGATGTCCAGCCAGGAGGGCTGTGCCCACGGCATTGGGGCTGAGTAGGGGCTGCAGCCTTGGGACCCCACTGGCCTGCGAACATCTCGTGACTCCCAAGAACACTGAACTTCTCAAGAACGGGGTCTCCAGTGGTCCCACTTCTGGGCAGTGCCCAGACCCAGGGCCACCAATAAAGCTGCACCCCTGGAGTTCCACCCTACCCCTCCAGGAAGGGGATGGGGCCTGAAACAGTGCAGGGAACAATCCATTCCAAACCAAACCAAAGGCCTGTCTGGAAGATGCGTGTAGTGAAGCCCCATTAGGGGACTGCCTGTCCCCGCCCTGCCCAGGACTGGAATCTCGCTATAGCTCTTCTCAGGCCCTTCCTGCTTCTGGACCTCAGCATGTGCTGGGCCCCTGGCCTGGAGCACAGCCCTGCCCAGCCCCTCCCAAGCTACGGACACACAGGTGTCTGTCCCCGTGTCCTGGCCATCTTTAGGGTGGGTGTGTGGGGTTTGGGGACTAGAACCAGAAGAAAGACTTTTTCCCAAGTGTGTGTGTCATGCCCCACCTGGGCTGCTGGATGGGGGCACAAGAGTTGTATACACTCTGAAGCAGCTGCCCAGGGGTTCTGTGCCATTTGAGGGCCCCCAGCTGAAAGACTCCTTAGGCTTGGCCTGGTGGAAGAAGAGGGGTCCCCGCTGGAACAGTCAGACCTGACTCCAGCTGAGTTCCAAGAAGGCAGCTGGCGCCCAGCTCTGTGAGCAGCACAGGCTCCAGGGCAGGTCCAGGCCCCTCGCGTCTCAGTCTCCAGCCTGGGCGTTGGCTTCTCAGCCTTGCCCTGACACTGGGGAGCCCAGTCCACACTCCAGGCCACTAAGAGACCCATCTGACGTCCCAAAGCCGCCAGGACGCCCCACCATGAGAACGTGGGCACTGAATTCTCCACGAAAAGCGAAGTGTGACTGTGGGTGGGCTTCACAGCCCCCGTGCCTGGGCCAGAGCCCCGCCGTGTCCCCTACTCCCAGAAGTCCCCTCTGGTTCTACCTGAGACAGCCCCTCACCTGGTCCTAGTCAGATCAGGGCAGTACCACAGAACTGAGATAGCTCCTACCTTTTTGGGAGAGAATACGCCCAAGGTGCCGCCATCCTCCCTCATGGCCACACCCATCTCGGCCAGCAGGGCTTCCCTGGGGGAACAGAGATGAGGTCAGCACAAGCTCCACAAGGCTTCTGGCACTGGCCTCAGCGCTGGCTGACCAACGTGGGCAGTGGGCCTGTGGCCACTGTGGCCTGGGTGGTGCCCATGTGTGTCCCATCTGGTCACTGTGTTAGGGCATCTGCTGATGGGACTGGCCCCTCCGCACCATGGTCAGGGATCAGGTCTATCAGGCCTCAGGTCTCTCAGGCCCTGGCGGCCAGCAGCCAGCAGTATACAAGGTGGGGGTTATTGGGTGTGAGGAAACAGGTTTGCCCTGGGCTGGGATGTGGCCACCCCAGGGTGCAGGTGCCCAGCACTGGAGGGCAGGGCTCAGTGCTCATCCTGCCCAGGCTACAGGCTTGCTGGCTGCAACCCTCCCCCTGGGCCTCAGTTTCCCCAATGCACACCTCTCCATCCGGATGGCTTCTGTTCGCCGAAGTTTCTCCTCCCAGGTCTCGTTGAGCTCAGCTATGATTTTCTCTGTTTCCTGGGGATTGAGGCAGAGCACAGTGAGCTGCCAGGGCTGGGGCCAAGGGAGAGGACAATAGAGACACGGGTGCCAGGAGAAGGGGTATCAAAGCACAAGAGCCACGTTCCTGGGCCCGTCCAGGCACATGAGGTGTCCAGAAGACCAAGGTGAAGCTCAGAGAATGTGTGTCTTTCCCTTAGACACGCTCAAGAGAATGGGGAAAATGCAAAACAAATCTGGAAGGAAAAGAGAAGCAAGTGCTCCTGGGAGATGCTGAGCCTCGGCTCCTAAAGCACAGTCATCCTCACTGCTGCCGAGAGGCCCAGGTGCTCACCCCTCTTCAGGACACTGCCCAGCATCAGCCTGGTCTCTCCTTTTTCTTCCCACCCACAGCCCAATGGGACCCCAACACCCCAGAAGGGCTCTCTGCTCCAGGGTCACAAGCCCAACCTCGCCCCCATCCCCTTCCTCACACTGGCCTTGATGGGGCCTCTGCCTTTTCCCCTCAGCCCCTCAGTCTCCAGGCGTGTGGCTCACCTGCCCCTGCACAGCCATTCACTGAGGGGCGTGTGACTGGAAACCTAAAATGATCCTGGCCCGTTGCTGGGCACCAGGGAGCACACTGTGCCTGGGAGTGGTTGGAGGTGGTGACTATTCCCAGGCAGGTGTGCAGGTGTGAACACAGGTTGGCCTGGAAGGGGCTCACGAGCCTGCACCACGCTCACCACCCTCCTCAGGGAGTGTAACACTATAGGATGCCAGCCAGGAAGCTGCTGTGACCTGGGGCTGTCACCAGTGGAGGGGGTGCTGTGGGGTGGGGAGGGGCGAGACTCCTCTCCACCCACAGATGCCATCCAGCTCACTGCTCCTTGAACAAGCGCCCGCTCACACAATTAAAGACTCGACAGGAAGAGTCTCAGTCCTGGACATTCATTCTTGGAGCTTCCCTGGTCCAGGCTTGGCATGGGTGGGGGCACAGGCCATCCAGACACCCAGGTCTAGGATCCTGCAGGTGCATTTCCTGTCCAGCAGCTGGGTGTTGTGCAGCCCACAGCCTGGGGACCCCCGAGTGAACTGGTTGCCTTGGCTGCTATGGGTGGTCTAGAGACAGGACACAGGGCGTCTGGGTGGCCACACGCCAGAGGCTCCTGCTGGTGCTCCACAATGGCCCTATGAGGATAGGCTGCGCCCAGGAGGGCAAGGTGCCTCTAACTCCTCCGAGCTCCCCACTCCAAGTCTGACACCCCGAAGCGAAGCTCCAAGTGGGGCCCTCACCTTCAGTCTTTCAATGGCCTCCTCGCTGCCTGGGGCAAACAAGATGCGCTCGTGGAGGCTGGACACGGAGGCTGCGCGGCTGGACAGGGCTGAGAGCGAGGATGAGGGGCTCATACCCACCAGGGCATTGGTCACTGTGGAGAGAGGGTCAGGGGCTTCATTCACCATCCCGCCACGGTTAAGGTTATTGTTCTCAAGGTCGGACACGTCTATGGGGAGGAGGGATAGGGCAGGCAGACAGACAGAGGGAGGGAGAGAAAAAAGATGAAGATGGGAAAAAGTAAGAGGTGGGGCCCAGAGAAGGCAAGAAACAGAAACCACCAAGGCACAGCAGCCCTGCCCGGCCCAGGACAAGCGCATGCAAGGCCTTCCTGCCACCCCTTGCCTATGATGGGACCGGGCTGGCAGTGGTGCCCACTTGCCCGCCTGCTCCCTAGGCCTGCCCTCCCCAGCAGCAGCATGGCATGGCCCTGGGCACCCTGGAGCTCCCCTGCACCCCCTGCACCAGGCTTCTTGCTTTCCCTCAGTTGCACTCCAGGTCCCACTGCCAGGCCGCCCTGCAGCCCCCGCACCTGAGGGCTGGGAGCCTGTCCTCCCTGCATCTTCCCACCCTGTCCACTGGCTTGGCATGGTCACCCAGCAGTGCCCCGTACAGACCCCCACGCTTGTCCTCCCACCCCTCGCACCCACTGTCAGCCTGGGACACCACACACCCCTGAGCTGTAGGGCCGGGCTGCACTAACTGTTCAGCCTACTGACGTGGAAATCGGCCCAGAGACTATCCTGGAGGAGGTGAACATGGGACCCTCATGAGGGAGGTCCTCATGGGACCCTCATGAGGGTTATTGTTCTCCACCACGAGGAGCTCACCCACCAGCCTAGGCCTCATGTATCCCCAAGGCCCGGGAGGTGGGGCTGGGACATCTCTGGAGTGGGTGGTGCCAGGGGTCTCCTAGCAGAAGCGAACACACAGCAGAGCAGCAGCAAGCACGGGACCACACGGGGTGTGGGGGAAGTGGCGGGCGCCCTGCAGCCGGGCTCAGGGAGGCGTTGAGCCCCATGGAGCCAGGCCCAAGGCCAGGAGGCACAAAGGCTGGGCGGGATTTGGCAGCATCCACTGTGAAAGCTGAGCTTGTGGCATTTCCAGAGTAGAGGGCCCGGGCGTGGGGGGTCAGGTCAGCTGGAGAAATGGCATTGCAGACGGAGGCCTGAGCCAAGAGCTGGGGACAGGACAGTCCCTCCAGCCTTCCTGGCCCTTTGGAGCTGATATCCTGACCTTCGCAGGCCTCTGGGTGCACGGGGGGTCACAGGGCCTGACCTCGGCCACATTTAGCCTGCGAAGGCCTCAGCCGCACCCTGACTCCCCTGTTGCCTTGGTTTCTCATGTAGACCATGAGTAGGAATGAGCCAGGAGTGTGGGCTCAGAGGCAGACAGAGTCCCACATCTACCAGCAGGGCCCTGTGACTGAGCGAGAGCAGTGCTTTCTGCCCCCAAAAAGGAGAAGAAAGCAGAGCAGGTGCCCTGGGGTTCACCCCTCCCTGCCCGTGCCGCCCTAGGCCCTCATGCTGGCTGGGGCTGGAAGCAGAGATGCAGAGAGCAGCAAAGGGAATACACACATTTGGGTCCTCCAGGCACAGTGTTGGCTACGGGGGAGGGAAGCGTGGGGGAGGGGGAGAGACAAAGAAACAGAAGAACAGGTTTGTCTCCAGAGGGTCAGGCACGCCTTTCACAGGCCAGGGTGGCCAGCAGTGGGTGAGTGGCCACAAGCAGGTGGTGAAGGTCTTCAGCTCCAGAACACGGGGGGCCGCTGTGACCCCAGCACCCACAGCCTGCCTATGGGGCTTCCAGGGGAGCCGTCTCTGGCCCACTTGCATCAGCATTGAACCCAAACCATGCAGTACCATCCAGGCCAAGGCCAGGAAACTTGCCCTTGTCCAGGGCCCCCGCCCGGCCTCCCACCCAGAGGCAGTTCTGCCCAGGAACATGGAGCAGGGATAGGGATTTGGCCCGGAGGGGCTCTGGGAGCAGTGTGGAGCTGCCACAGCCCAGACTGTGGCCAGCAAAGTGGTGGCCCCAGGAGAGACGATGTGATGACCTGCAAGGCCCCTGAGCCTGAGGCCTCACAACCCTGTCCAGGACAGGCTGGTGCAGGCACTCACTGTCAGTGATGTCGCCAAGACCCTGGGCATACAGCAGGTCCCGCAGCCGGGTCACCTCATCCTTCAGCTCACGGATCAGCTTGTTATTGGGGTCCTCATTGATGACAGCATTGCAGCGGATCTGCTTGGCCCGGTCAGCATACCTGGGTGGCAGAGGGGTCTGTGGGCTGTGCTCAGGACAGGTCCACACCTGGCAGGTCCCAAGGGTGCCTGGAGCCCTGCCTAAGAGCCAGCCTTTCGGGCTCAGCAGCCAGGCCAGAGGTGGACCTGAGCCAGCACAGCCTGGCACAGAGTGAGAAATCATCCCCATAGCAAGTCGCTGGGGAGGGCATTTGGGGCCACAGGCCAGAGAAGACTTACAGGGGAGGTCACCCAGTTACAGCTCACCCGCTTGGGGAAACTGAGGCCTAGGGGAGAAGGGGCAGCGTGGTGTCCTCTCCCCCAGTGGTCCCAGGGTAGAGGGACAAAGTCCAACGGAAAAATGTGAGAACAGCAACGTGTACATAGGTTTTTGTCCACACTGTGTATCAGCTGATGCATATGTCTACATTTCCAGTTAGTACATGAACCTCTACTGGGACACATGCCCTTTGTTTCTCTTAAGCACTGGTGGTGCACGGTCAAAAGAGGGGAGAGACCACTGACCCAAACAACCGAGCAGCCTCTAGCATGGCTAGGGGCCCAGGCTCCCCACCCCAGGTGCTCACTTGCCCATAAGACACACCTATGCCCCCTTTGCTATCTAAAAATCCCCAGTGGTTACCCTGGCCGGCAGGTGAGTGTAAACTGCTTTGCCTAGCAGGCACAGCTCTCCCAGTCTGGTGCCACAGGGCCCTGGGCTACCCGCAGCCCCAAAGCACGCCCTCAAAGGCACCATGGAGGAAATGGAACAGGGCCCATGCAGGTCCAGGAGCCCCAGAACAGTCCCTTCCAGCCTCACAGAGTCCAGGGTATACCCCTCACAAAGAGTCGTCCCTGCTCACTGACACTCTTAATTCAAGCATGGGAGGATCCATCCCCCAAGACCAGGGAGCGTGGAGCAGAGCTCCCCTGGAGAGTCCCAGGGAGCAGAGTGTCTCCCTGGAGAACTCACCTCAGTGTGCTGAGGGTCTCGTCGTAGTTGATGTCTGCAGGACTCAGGGCTGCCACCATAGCTGTCCTTGAGTTACCGCCTGTGGGAAGAAGACCAGGTTGTGCCCAGAGGGGGATCTAGGCCCCAGTGCTCTGTCTGCTCCCCCTATCCCCCCACATTTACAGATGGGGAGACTGAGGCCCAGAGAAGTAAACTGAGTCACAGGCTTATCCTCATGAACACAGACAACAGCAAGGACCTGGCCTTCCTTGGCTGCCCCTTCATCTCTGCACCAGGCACTGCTATTATTTCTCTTCTACTTGTGTTTTTCTCATATTTGGGGCCATTTTACAACAATCAGGCCTTCCTTTCCCCAAAGCAGAGAGGAAAAGTTGTGGAGGGTGTTAAAGTATTTACTATAAAATAAATACCATTTATGTTCAATAATTTTTTCAAGCACTTCTATCATTTTCATTTGAAACACATTCCTCAGTATTCAACATCAGATTCCCGGCCCAGGTTAGTAGGATCCCAGCATCAGGTAATGCGTGGCCTGAGGAACAGACTGTGTTCTTTCTCTTCAGGGAATCCTGTCTAGGTGACCTCAGCAGTCAGAAAAGATCACCACTGACTCCATCCCAGCCCTCAGGACTGCTGCCTGGTGGTACTTCAAGTCTAGACAGATGATCTTGCCTGCTTGACCCCAGGAAACTGTGTATCCTTAGGGTCGTGTCCCCAGGGCATGGGTCCCTGATGAGTCCCTATAGGGACTGAAGAGACAGTGTGAAGGGCTGGGCACATGACACACGGGCCCTAGGAAAGGTTCCGTGGGAGGACTCCCCTGCCCCCGCCCTGGGGATGAACCTGGGTGTGCCTGGAGCAGGGGGCTCCTTCCCAGCCCACATCTCAGGTGAAGGAACACACTCTCCTCCTCTCTCAGCAGGGACCATCCATCCGCAGGCCTGCTGCGATCTGCATTACTGGTCTGAGCTGGGGAGCAGCATGGCTAGTTGTGGGGTGCAGAGGTGGCCAACCAGGGCTCTGCACACCTCAGCCATGCAGCTGAGGGAGGCCAGGGACCCCCAGTCATCTACGGTCACCAGGTCAGTACAAGACTCAGTTTGCCTCCCTGGGCATCAGCTGTAAATGCAGTTGGGGAGGACTCTGAGGTTATTCCGGGATGGACGGGATCAGCGTCGGGTGCATTTCAATTCCCACCTCCCCATCTAACTCTCACTGCTCAGAACTCAAATGGGGAGGAGAAGGTTTATGGCAGCCCCTCAAAACCTAGCAAGCAGAGATCCCCTGTGACAGATGGGGAAACCAAGGCCCAGAGAAGGGTGAGTACTTGGCCTGGGTATCACAGCCCACCTGACCCAGACCACTGACACAGGCAGGTGTGTGCTGTGCCGCCACATGGGCCATCCTGGTTCCCACACTTGCTTCATTAACCCACTGCTGGCCATTGCCCCAGGCCCTCCAGAAGGGCCATGAACTGACTGGACCCTCCAGGTTCACCTCCCAGTCTCAGCCAAGAAAGGGTGAGAGGCCTCCTGGCAACTGGGCACCCCCTCAGTGGGGAAGAAGGGCACACCCCAGGGTGGGATCAGAGCCCTGGGGACAGGCAGACCCACAAGTTCTCACCCAGGTTTTCCCGGAGGAGCCAGGTCAACACGGAATCTCGGTACGGAATGAAATCTGTCTTCTTCTTTTTCTTGTTCTGTGGGGGAGGAACATTCAAGGTTAAGTCCGAGCCCACTAGAGAGAAAGTGAAAGGGAGGGGCCACCAGTGCAGGTCCTGCCAAGTGGGTCCTCAAAGCTGGAGGCTGGGCAGGGGGCGGGACCCGCTCTGCTGGACACGTTCTCAGACTGCTCAGGCCTCTCCCTGCCCAGACCCCAGGGCACCACCCCAGAGGGCTTCTCTAGGCCACAGTCAGGGATTTGCTAGCACATCCTTCAGGTTCCTCCCTCGTCCATCCCTGCTGCCCCTGGGCCACCCAGCTGGACACCAGCCAGGAGTGCTGAGGTCACCAGCAAGTGTGTCCTCCCTTTACTCTGTCTGAAGGATCCATCTGAGCCCATGGCCCCTCCTCGAACACCATCAGCGACTCTTTCTGACCCAAGGGAAAAGGCACCACAGCTAAATGTGGCCCTCCAGGCCTCTGTGGCTGCTGCCACACTTACCTCCCTGCCAGTTTAAATCTCCCCTTCACACAGAGTTCACCTGCCCTCTCGTCCATCAAACTCCCTACGGTCCTGCAGAAGCCAGCTCACAGGCCTTCCTCTAACAGCCTGTTCTCCCATCCCTCCCCTCAGAATGAAGCATCCTCCATGCTCTTGCTACTTCTTTGGCTCTTTAAAATATGGACTCCATCCACATAATGGCTGCCAGGAATTGCTTCTGATGGACACTCTGTGACTGACTTAATGATCCCACTAATTGTGGGTTTCAGTGACTTCCAATGTCTACTGGTTCATGTATGCATTGGCTTACGAAGCATTTGCAGAGCACCTGCTGGGCTGGCAGACAAGGCCTCTGGCCCTGGAGCCTGCACCCCAGGACATGCACATAGATGCCACCTCAAGGGCTGGGTGCACACACAGACATCATTGTTCTTGAAGACAACCCCAGGAGAAGCTCCACCAGCTCACAGGGCACATAAAATTTGAAAGCTCTTGAGACTCCCTGTCAAAGAGGGTCTCGAATGCTGCACTGGCTTCTCCACGAGCAGGGTTTCAGGGTGTCCATCTTGCAGCTCAGCAGCACAACCGACTGCTTTCTTTTTTCTTTGGAAACTTGGTAGGGACTAACTCTATTTCTAGTTTTCTTTTGTTTTTGTTTTTGTTTTGAGATGGAGTCTCCCTCTGTCGCCAGGCTGGAGTACAGTGGCACAATCTCAGCTCACTGCAACCTCCACCTCCTGGATTCAAGCAATTCTCCTGCCTCAGCCTCCTGAGTAGCTAGGATTGCAGGCGCCCACCACCATGCCCGGCTAATTTTTGTATTTTTTTTTTAGTAGAGACAGGATTTCACCATGTTGGCCAGGACGGTCTCGATCTGTTGACCTCATGATCCGCCCGCCTTGGGTTTCCAAAGTGCTGGGATTACAGGCATGAGCCACCGCGCCTGGCCTCTAGTTTGGTTTCTGATTATTTAATTCCTGAGGGTGAATTCTCTGCCATGTGTCATATTCCTTGCTTCCACATAAATGTCCTCCAGTCATTCAGCCATTTCAGCAAGGAGCCCAGCAGCCCCCTGGGTTTCCTGCTCCCTCACCACTTGTCTGTCCAGTCGTGCTCCGCCATCTCCCAGGACCACCCTGTTCTCCCTTCTCGGTCCCCCAGTCTCCACCATGTCAAGCCTGGATCGCTGACCTTCCATCCTGACTGCCGCACCAGGCCACCCTGCTCCCGACCTATCTTTCACGCAGCGCGCGTGGCCTGAGGACCCATCCTTGGCTAAAGCAGACGCTGTGAGCCCTGCTGAAAACCCACCGCTGCTGCCCATGAAGCTGCGCCAGGCAGCTCCTGACAAGCGGAACGGACCTCCCACCCTCAGATCCGCCCGGCTCCTGCCGGCCTCGCCTCCCTGCTCCGGGCCCTGTTCCTCAACCAGTTCCTCGAAAACGCTCTCACTCGGCTCATTCGAAAGTCTCTGTCACTGTCCCTCGCAGGGTCCCTCGCACTTTTCCTCCCAGTCCCTCACACAGCCGGTCACGCAGTTCCCACGCGGTGGTTCCACATCTCAGCCCCGCACGCTCCAGCACTCAGTCCCTCCAGGAGCTCCCGCCATTCCCCGCGCGGTTCCCACGCGGCTGCCTGCAGCTCGCCACACAGTTCCTCAGTTCCTCCCGCCTCCCCACGCAGCTCCTCACGTTTCTCCAAACGGTTCTTCACGCAGCGCCTCTTGCTTCCCCCTTTATTCCTCCATTATGGAAAACGGCAGTCACTCGAACGCGGACTCCACCCATGTGATGGCTGCCGGTCCCACCGTTCATCATGTGTTCCCACAAGTTCCACACGCAATTCTGTCACAGTTCTCTGTGGAGTTCTTTGCACAGTTCCACCCAATCCTCACCTAGATCTCCACGCGGGGCCTCGTTACACACGCGTTCTTCACCATGCTCCACACGCAAATCCTCCCCGTCCCTGACACTCTTGATCTCACAGTTCCTCACAGTTCCCCAGAAAGTTTCTCACGTTCCTCAAACATTTCCTAACACGGCTCCCCACAGGACGCCTCCCACAATCCTCCGTTTCTCCGACTTCCCCACAGGGGCTCGCAGCTCCCGCACAGCGTTCCACACACAGAGACAGGCTTCTCAGTGTCCCACGGTCCCCACGGCATCCACGCAGCTCCCCGAAAACCCCTTCAGCTCTGCCCCAGTCCCCACACAGCGCCCCACCCCATTCCACACACTTCCTTCCGGGTCACACAGCGCCACGCAGGTTTCCCACGGCTCGGCCGGGTCACTGCACAGGGCGCCCGCGAGTGGCGGTTTAGTTTCCCATCCAGCTCCTCTGCCCGGACAACCCCTACTTTGGAGTCTCTCGGCTTTCCCCACAATTCACACAGTTCCCCTCCCACGGCTCCTCACGTTCCTTCAAACAGCTCCCCCATAATTCTCATGCAGTTTTCCTCACCACCCAGGCTCCTCACGTTCCTACCACTTCTCAAACAACTCCCCACCATTCCTCCCCAACACAGTTCCTCACCGGCTCTCCACAGCCCTTACAGCTCATCCCTAGTAGGGTCCCTTGCCACTTTCCACACAGTTCCTCCCAGGCCATTCCTGTTCACCGTTCCACGTATCCATTCCCGGCTCCTCCACAGTTTCCCCACAGCCTTCACTGGACCCACCGGTTCTCACAGTTCCACACAGTTCCTCACAGTTCTACCTCAGTTCCTCACAGTTTCCACACTCAGTTCCTCCACAGTTCCACACGTTGCTTCCCACAGTTTAACTGAGTCCCCTCACAGTTTCTCACAGTCCCACACAGTTCCATGCTGAGTTTCCACATAGTTCCTCACAAGTTTAGTTCCACACTCAGTTCCACACAGTTCCACACTCAGTTCCTCACAGTTTCCACACAGTTTCCACTCAGTTTCCACACAGTTCCACTCAGTTCCTCACAGTTCTTCAGTTCTACACTCAGTTCTCACAGTTCCACAGTTCTTCACAGTTCCACTTGAATCCCTCACAGTTCTCACAGTCCCACACAGTTCCATACTGAGTTCCACACTCAGTTCCTCACAGTTCCACAGTTTCACACTCAGTTCCACAGTTCTTCACAGTTCTACCTCAGTTCCTCACAGTTCCCACAGTTCTTCTGATTTCACACTTGAGTCCCTCACAGTTTCACACTCAGTTCCTCACAGTTCCACTCAGTTCCTCACAGTTCCACTCCCAGTTCCTCACAGTTCCACAGTTCTTCACAGTTCCACTTGTCCTCACAGTTTCTCCACAGTCCACGGTTCCATAGTAGTTCCAGTCAGTTCCTCACAGTTCTACAGTTCCACACTTTCAGTTCTCACAGTTCTTCACAGTTCTACACTCAGTTCTCACAGTTTACTCAGTTCCCTCCCAGTTCCACACCCTCAGTTCCTCACAGTTCCACACAGTTCCACACTCAGTTCCTCACAGTTCCACCACTTGGATTCACACTCAGTTCCTCACAGTTCCACACTGCAGGTTCTACACAGTTCCACACTCCAGTTCCTGCGCAGTTTCACCTCCCAGTTCTTCAGTTCCACACTTAGTCCCTCATAGTTCCACATAGTTCCACATTCAGTTCGTCACAGTTCCTGCACTGAGTTCCACACAGTTCCACATTCAGTTCCACACAGTTCCTCATAGTTCCACACCCAGTTCCTCGCAGTTGCTCACAGTTCCACCCTCAGTTCCACACTCAGTTACTCACAGTTTCACATAGCTTCTCACAGTTTCTCACAGTTCTGCAGTTTCCACCCAGATCCTCCCACTTCCACACAGTTCCTCACAGTTCCACACAGTTCCACACTCAGTTCCTCACAGTTCCACACAGTTCCACACTGAGTTTCTCACAGTTCCACACAGTTCACAGTTCCTCACAGTTCCTCACAGTTCCACACAGTTCACACTGAGTTTCTCACAATTCCACAGTTCCACACAGTTCCTCACAGATTCTCACAGTTCCACACAGTTCCACACAGTTCTACTCACACAGTTCCTCACAGCTCAGTTCCTCACAGTTCCACACAGTTCCACACTCAGTTCCTCACAGTTCCACACTTAGTTCCACACTCAGTTCCTCACAGTTCCACACTGAGTTCTACACAGTTCCACACTCAGTTCCTCGCAGTTCCACACTCAGTTCTTCAGTTCCACACTTAGTCCCTCATAGTTCCACATAGTTCCACATTCAGTTCGTCACAGTTCCACACTGAGTTCCACACAGTTCCACATTCAGTTCCACACAGTTCCTCATAGTTCCACACCCAGTTCCTCGCAGTTGCTCACAGTTCCACCCTCAGTTCCACACTCAGTTACTCACAGTTCCACACTTAGCTTCTCACAGTTTCTCACAGTTCTACACAGTTCCCACCCAGATCCTCCCACTTCCACACAGTTCCTCACAGTTCCACACAGTTCCACACTCAGTTCCTCACAGTTCCACACAGTTCCACACTGAGTTTCTCACAGTTGCAGAGTCTTCCCATGACATGCTACACAGAGACAG